AGACGACGGTAAAACTAGTAGCCTGGACCTGGTAATTACAGGAGGCCTAGGAAGCTAGGCTAGTTCAAGTTGTGTGTAGCCGTCAGGTTAGACCAAAAAAGCCTAGCTAGGCCTAGGCCCCTCTCTCTAGGCCTAGCCTGACCGGTTTTTGCGCGGAGGATATAGGCCTATTCCCGCGCAGGCCTTACTTTACAGTCTCGCAGTTATGTATGGTTTTCATCTAGGGCTAAACACTTTTTCGGCTCTCATTATGACACTTATCTTAATTATTGAGTGACAAGAATTGAACCTAGGACTTTTATAATGGTGAATGGAAGCCAAAAATCATTCATCATATAGGCCCCTAACTGAGCTGATCATAACAATTACCAAGCTATTCAACTCCACTAATTAATTGCCTTGATCATTTTCTCTTTTACACTTCAGGCGATGGCATCAAATTATGCCAAGCGCATGGCAAGGTTGAGCTCCAGAATCTTCGGCCAACTTGTTCGTCCAACCAATCCAACGTCTATGCGAGTTGTCAATAAAATCAGCAAAGAACCAATTGAACAGCAGAAATTTTATGTTGATTACTACCCTCCACATGTGGAGATTTCACGATTGATGTTCAGACTCCGGCACTTTGGACTTTATAGGTAGAGTATGGGCATGCATTTCATGTACACCTTGTTACTATGTGTTGATTTTGTGCACATTAATACTTAAAGAGTATGGGCATGCATTTCATGTACACCTTGTTACTATGTGTTGATTTTGTGCACATTAATACTTAAATCTTAATGTTTTCAATGTTAAAATCTTTTTTGTCCTAAAAATATGTAGTTTAAATAAATACAAAAAGAAAATTTTTTTTTTTTTAGAATTTAGATTCAATTGTACTTTTTCAATTTAAAATAATAAAATAAATTTATATTATATAAGTGATTACAGGGCAGATTATATTAATTTGTAAATAATATTTGGTAATAATGATGTTGATAATGTTTAGTTTTGATTCAAATGTTTACTTCTTTATATATGCAATTTATTTTTTTTATTGTGTGTAGTGCTTGTTGAAAAATGTTTTTATTTTATTTTGGTATGCAAGAAAAAATATAGATTTTAATAGTACTGTTGTTACTTTTACATTTCTGATATTAGATTTTTTTTTTAGATTTCAATGAAGTGGACTTAAATGTTTCCTGTACTTTCTATTTTCAATTAAAGGGATGAGCATGCAGACTTTAAAGATGAAATGAAGAGAGTAGCAAAGTTAAGAGGCAAAGGAAAACCAAAGAAAGGAGAAGGTAAACGGGCTTTGAAAAGGAAATGATTCAAGCATAATATACTGATGTATTGTGGATGTTCAGTAACCTCTCAAGGAAACACCTGAGTGAGGAGGTACTCATTTGAAAAATCACTGCTGTATAATACAAATTGAAGGCAAAGAAATTTCTGAAACATCTCTTTTTTGAGGAAGTGGTCCAAATAATGTGAGGGCAGTGTTTATGCAGTTATTCATAATAAGTTGAAGAGGATTGCATGACTTTTTTAACCTACCATGTTTAAAGAACTGTAATTAACCAATCGTAAAAGTTTGGATATTATATCTCAGAGTGACATTTCAATAATGTTATCTATTTATGGATAATAGAATAAATTGTTTATGCTCTGTGCACACTATCAAATAGTCATGTGCCTATATATGGTTATGATGTGCCTATATATGGTCATGATGTGCCTATATATGGTCATGATGTGAAGGCATAGGCAAGACTTCTTTTATACCTTTTTTAGCGAACCTGCCGCCCTCCAATAATGATGATTTAGATTTAAAAATATAATTTTATTTTTGGCCAATTACCGCACCCACTGCCAGGAAGTAATGGAAATTTAAGATAAAAAAAAATTTATCACGCCTGCCGCTGCCTTGAAATCTCAAAAAATAAGATATGTATATTTCTTCTTAATTATATAAATTTTAAGCATATCGCCATCTCATTACCACACTGTTTACATTCACCATTAAAATTTTTATTTCTATTTTCTCCTCCATCTGGATGTTTTTGGCAAAACCTAAACAAAACAAATTTTTTATTTTTCCTCGTACATCCTCTGAAGATCTGTAAAAAAAAACCAAGTTTTGCGAAACAAGGGGCGGATTGCTACAAGCGGTCTTAACGCTTAGCTGGCTATAAATATGACGTCACAACAGGTCTATGACTATAGACCATTGCTATACTGCGGTCTAACCAGTTGGCTGTCTTAAATATTAAAATCCTACTCAGAGGAGGCTTAACGGTCTTGAATAATTTACATTATGGCGTTACTACTAGACCTAGGCATAGACCGAGAATTGAAGAACGAATATTCCTCAAGTTTCTCATTGTCTGTAAAAACCGATCTACATTTATTTATTTATGTTCATTATAATACGTGCGCATGTGTCGAGCAAGCTTGACGTACTGTACAGAGCCGTAGATAGAGAGTTTGGCCAACTTGGCACATGGCACCATGTTGCCAAACAGCGTGCGTGCGTATTAGCTTTATAACACTGATGCTGCATAAACTTTCTTTTATTATTCTGTTCATGAGGACAATTCAATTATGGGATTTTAATATACCCTATCGTGTTAGTTTGTGGCTCGCCGATGTTTTGTTTTGGTGACAACATGGCCGGTGTAAGTCACGTGTATTGGGATCCACCCAATCACATGCGCATGTAGCAGAATCCAGTAAAACCGAGTTGGCCAAACTCACTATCTACGGCTCTGGTACTGTAACAGCGCCCTCAATTTTGTTACCAATCAGCGCTTGCTTGCGTTTCAATACCTGAAGCGGTCTAAACAAACACTGTTTTATAGCAATGGTCTTTTAGCGGAGTGGCTTTTAGTAAGACCGTGTAAGTGATAAAGTCGGCTTTATTCGAGTAGTTAAGACCGTTTTATCTGCCCCTGGTATCAAAAAAGTCTCGTCTGACCATATATAGGCATGTCACATGTTTTTGTCATTATAAAATTTGATAGTCTGGACAGAGCTTTATGGTTAGCTGCAAAGCTTGGTACACACTGTCAGTCGACAAATCCATCGGTGTGTTAGTGCTTGACGACGGGATGCTGTCTGCTGATCATTGAAAGCAGTCAAGAGCCAATCATCATAAAAAATGATCTGCTGTGCGCGTCTCATTTTGTGTTCTGCATGGAATTGCGTCGGCTAACAACCGTCGGCACAGTTAGTATATCTGGCTTTCTTAATTAGCAACAAATTAAAAACAGGCAACTTCATCAAATCTCTCATTAGAAATACATTTATTTAAAATGTCAAACCACACCTTATCATTCCATGCTGTGAGCACTTGAAAAGCAATAAAAGAGAAAAAATATTTTTTGTTGGTTGCAATTTCATTGTAGTTTACAAGTGTGAGGTGTATTAGCAGTGTTCCTAAAACACATTAAATATGAACTCATTAATTTATGTAAGATTGCTCTGCTCGGTTTTTTTTCTCAGTTTTCTAGTTGTGATATGGTGATCCAAAAAGTTATATAACAAATTCTTGAATTTTCTAGATATATTTAAAACATTAAATTTTAAAAGGGAAGCACCAATAGGTGTTTTTAATGAGATTTAATTTTTATTTTCACATCCTGTATTCATCAAGTAAAACTTTATAATAAATATATTATGTACAAAAAAAAAAGTAAACTTTACAGTTATGGTTATGTTTAATATTCTGGTTGGCTTTTATCAGTGATTGGTGGAAGAACTGCTTTCTTTTCGGAGCCTGGTCTTCCACTGCCAGGCCTAGATCCACCACTACCTGGTCTTGACCCTCCAGAGGTAGGGCTGTGACTTCGAGACAACTGCTCAATCAGATTTAGTGGTGAATTGCTTAACACCGACTTCCTCAGCCGGTCTGTGCCAGCAGATTGTATTGATACCTGCGACCCTAGTGGAGATTGTACAGCAGAAAATCCTCTAGCCTCAGAAAGATTTGAAAGATTTGAATTGCTGCGAGCATCGTCTTCACTGGAGTCTGGGCTGCTAGCCCTTGCGAAATCTTGAGACAATGAGTCTGACTTTGAATAACCATTCAATACATCCTGCTGCAATGATGGTGGAGCTGTTTTTGGAAGTCTGAGCAGAAAAAAAAAATTCTTAAGTTATTACAATATTAAAAGATTGGCGTATGATATTTAAATTGATTAGTTGTATTTAAATATACCATATTAATAATTTAATATTAAAACAAAGGATATTGAGAAGCTTACAATTGTTCTTTTTAATAGAAAAATGTTTGGAGTTAAACATAAGTTAAACATGAGTTAGACTAGGTTTACCACCGTCACCACCACAATAGTCATTCTACAACTTACGAAAACCTAACTTGGTTGACATTACTGACCTGTTAAGCTGTTCGATTGGACTTGGGACAGATCCGCAAGCTGCAGTGGCAATAGCAGCACTTTTGCGCCGCTCGTATGATGCTTGCTCCTGTTGCAAGTCAAAAAATAAACATAATAAAAGTATTTAATGTTTCAAAATAAAGACAATGCTAAAGGCAACCATATTAACCACAAAGCTACAACTTACCAAAACCTAACTAACCTAACCACAAAGCTAAAATCCCTCTCTTACAGGTTTTGCATACCCAGGGGCACGGATCCAGGTTTTTTTCAAACTAATTTTAATATATGCCTTGAAATTAAAAAATTTTGTGGCAAAATGGGAGGGGGGTGGGGGGCACATGCCCCTACTAGACCCGCCCCTGATACCTTTTAATTTCTTCCACCAAGTTTACAAATTTGTTGTATGTGTACGTCCTCCCTTTAAAAAACTTGCGCCTCCCCTTTAAAAATGTTCAAAGCAGGAAAATCCCCTTATTTTGCAAGCTAGCGCCCCCACTTCACCTTCACGACCCTATCAAAATTTTTAGATACGCCACTGTTAAATGAGCAATTTTACGGTTTCCCCCCCACCTTTATTTTTGGTAATATTTTCAAAAGATCACATAAAACACATCTTATTTTGTCAGTGTCTCTTGATGCCTTTCAATAGACTGTATTTTGTGTGGTATGAGATGTTTTTTTCTGGAACTGATTGGTTGATCAGTTGATAATTGAAATTTGAAGGAAGCTTGGCTTGTGCTTCGCAACCTAAAGGAAAGGTGCATTAATGTCCAGTAACAGTAACGGAAAAAATATTGCTTGAAGGTTTGCATGGCGAAGTAAATATATATTAATGTTTGCGGTACACTTTTTGTAGTAAACATACAGTATATATTAGTTATTTTAAAACATTCTTTTTTATGTGACTTAAAGAAAGTCGATAATTTATGAAGAAAACTCACCACCAAACTTTTGGAAGGTTCCATTTTTTTGCGGATGCTTGGAGAGACTTTATGAGATCCTTCTTGTGATGCATTACGAGACCATGTTCGAATCCCAGGTTCGGAGTTCATAGTGTTGTCAGGTTTGCCCATTGACTGAGGTTGGGACTGCATTCTACAAAAATTTAGAACATCAATAGTGTTTTAATTCTGAATTTCATGAAGTGTATACTAGATTTTGTTTAATACCTTGTTTAGAAAACTAATTATTCTCTTCACATATAGCAAAACATTTTGCCAAAAACATCTGGCAGAGAAATTACTGTATATTTAATAGCAATGTGTTTTACTGACAACATAGTAATTGAAAATCTAAAAAATGCTGCTTTCGTGGAAAAAACAGAGATAATGGACTTAACCTCAACCATGGAGGTATAACACCTTTATACCTCAACAATGTCTATTGAGTAAAAAATATTACAGTAATATTAATTTTTGGAATACTGTAACCATCATGAAGAATTTTCAGATTTAAAAGAACTTTACTACAAGTGAAGCTTTTACCTTGAGTTTGAATTTTCCGAGGTAGAAGCAGAGCCATCGGATATTTCCTGAATGAAGCTATCAGTGTCGAAGTCATCGTTGAAATCCTCTATGCCAAGGTATTCTAACAACAGTTTTTTTAGCTGGCGATAAGCATCCTTCAAGTTGCCTAAAACAAATGTAAATTTTTTTACAAATTTTATTCTAATTCAGCAGCGAGTAACTCTACTTATAGGCAGTGGTTGCACCAGCAGGGAGAGCAGGGGCACAACTCATCAGATCAAAAAAGTGAAAACATTTTATTTTTAAAAAGAGCATAAATACAAACAGCTTAAAAAAGCCCAAAAGTGCACAGTGTTCTAGGCTAGGCGCGAGAGGGGGCATAGCCTCTGAGCTCCCACCCCACTGGTCCTCTTCATTGAAAATGTCCAGATCCTCTGTCCAACAGCTTTGCTTTGCATTCTGATTTTCATCAGCAGCTGACGTTGCAGACACAATTGATAATGTACTAGTAAAAACATGCAAAACTCATGAACTTGCGGAAGATAGAGTAATTTCTGGTAAATTTTTGATTACCACGGGAGTGTTGGAGACAGTGCCGTTTCCTAGCAAACTCCCATGACTCGCAGTAGACTAGGCACCCTTGAATTTTTCAATATGGAAACAAAATTCTCAACTACAGTAAATATGGAATATCTTACTACTATCAATTGTAACATCAAAAAATCCTGGCTTCTGGTCATTCATATCCTGATATAAGTCATCGCGTGTGATCGCCGACTCAATTTGGAGAGCACTGAAGCCTCCACGTTCCTCCAGCCTCTTCTTGTGAGCGTCCTTGTCCAAGGGAAGCAGGAGAACATAGCGTGGCTCAAAATATGTCAGTTTCATTGATAAAACGCCCTAGGAAAGTAATTATGATTATAATCTTTCTATTTTTTTTTTGGAAATTCTGTTGACTAGTTAAGAAAAATACAAAAATTCCTCTATGTGTTGTAACAAATAATTCTTACATCAATATCATATATCTTAAGCTTTCACAAAAAAAAAATTTTTTTGTATGAAATACCGTAAAACCTTGAATAGGAGCCCAATGGGCTTAATCTCGAAAAGAAGTCCATCTCAAATAGAAGCCCATCTCTTTAGCTGTCTCTTATACACATCTAACACATCTTATTTTGTCAGTGTCTCTTGATGCCTTTCAATAGACTGTATTTTGTGTGGTATGAGATGTTTTTTTCTGGAACTGATTGGTTGATCAGTTGATAATTGAAATTTGAAGGAAGCTTGGCTTGTGCTTCGCAACCTAAAGGAAAGGTGCATTAATGTCCAGTAACAGTAACGGAAAAAATATTGCTTGAAGGTTTGCATGGCGAAGTAAATATATATTAATGTTTGCGGTACACTACATAGTTTTTATAGTAAACATACAGTATATATTACTTATTTTAAAACTTTCTTTTTTATGTGACTTAAAGAAAGTAGATAATTTATAAGAAAACTCACCACCAAACTTTTGGAAGGTTCCATTTTTTTGCGGATGTTTGGAGAGACTTTATGAGATCCTTCTTGTGATGCATTACGAGACCATTTAGAACATCAATAGTGTTTTAATTCTGAATTTCATAAAGTATATACTAGATTTTGTTTACCTTGTTTAAAAAACTAAATTATTCTCTTCACATATAGCAAAATATTTTGCCAAAAACATCTGGCAGAGAAATTACTGTACATTTAATAGCAATGTGTTTTACTGACAGCTAGTAATTGAAAATCTAAAAAATGCTACTTTCGTGGCAAAAACAGATATAATGAACTTAACCTCAACCATGGAGGTATAACACCTTTATACCTCAACAATGTCTATTGAGTAAAAAAATATTACAGTAATATTAATTTTTGGAATACTGTAACCATCATGAAGAATTTTCAGATTTAAAAGAACTTTATTACAAGTGAAGCTTTTACCTTGAGTTTGAATTTTCCGAGGTAGAAGCAGACCCATCGGATATTTCCTGAATGAAGCTATCAGTGTCGAAGTCATCGTTGAAATCCTCTATGCCAAGGTATTCTAACAACAGTTTTTTTAGCTGGCGATAAGCATCCTTCAAGTTGCCTAAAACAAATGTAAATTTTTTTACAAATTTTATTCTAATTCAGCAGCGAGTAACATTCTCTACTTATAGGCAGTGGTTGCACCAGCAGGGAGAGCAGGGGGCACAACTCATCAGATCAAAAAAGTGAAAACATTTTATTTTTAAAAAGAGCATAAATACAAACAGCTTAAAAAAGCCCAAAAGTGTGCAGTGTTCTAGGCTAGGCGCGAGGGGGCATAGCCTCTGAGCTCCCACCCCACTGGTCCTCTTCATTGAAAATGTCCAGATCCTCTTTCCAACAGCTTTGCTTTGCATAGTGATTTTCATCAGCAGCTGACGTTGCAGACACAATTGATAATGTACTAGTAAAAACATGCAAAACTCATGAACTTGCGGAAGATAGAGTAATTTCCGGTAAATTTTTGATTGCCACGGGAGTGTTGGAGACAGTGCCGATTCCTGGCAAACTCCCACGACTCGCAGTAGACTAGGCACCCTTGAATTTTTCAATATGGAAACAAAATTCTCAACTACAGTAAATGGAATATACTTGAATATCTTACTACTATCAATTGTAACATCAAAAAATCCTGGCTTCTGGTCATTCATATCCTGATATAAGTCATCGCGTGTGATCGCCGACTCAATTTGGAGAGCACTGAAGCCTCCACGTTCCTCCAGCCTCTTCTTGTGAGCGTCCTTGTCCAAGGGAAGCAGGAGAACATAGCGTGGCTCAAAATATGTCAGTTTCATTGATAAAACGCCCTAGGAAAGAAATTATGATTATAATCTTTCTAATTTTTTTTTGGAAATTCTGCTGACTAGTTAAAAAAAATACAAAAATACCTCTATGTGCTGTAACAAATAAGTCTTACATCAATATCATATATCTTAAGCTTTCACAAAAAAAAAAATTTTTGTATGAAATACCGTAAAACCTTGAATAGGAGCCCAATGGGCTTAATCTCGAAAAGAAGTCCATCTCAAATAGAAGCCCATCTCTTTAGTTTGCAAAAGTAGTCTCAAAAAGAAGCCCATGGGCTTGAAGCTTTTTTTCTAGATAGCATGGACTATTTTTCAAGAGAATAAAATTAAAGTACATACACTGTACATGAATTTTAAAAAAACATACAAGAAATTAAAGACACACTTGCTTTATCCAGTGATTTAAAGCCACTTAATACACTCCAGATACAGATTGATGTTACAGTGGCTGGTTACAGTGAAAAGAAGCCCCCTATTTACTTTGCAAAAGTAGCCTCTAAAAAAAGCCCATCAAAAGTTCACAAAAAAAGAAGCCCAGGGCTTCAATTCAAGGTTTTACAGTATATAGTCATGATGTGCCTATAAATGGTCATGACGTGATGTCATGACCATATTTAGGCGTGTCACATGTTTTTGTCAAATAAAATTTGATAGCCTCGACAGGGCTTTATAGACCGTAAACGAAATTTTTACAGGAGACAAATATTTAAATAATTTTAGTTTTCTTATGTACAGATTTTGTTACTACAATTTAAGGATTTACTCAAAGATCTGATATTAGTACTTAATGAATTAGCTCTAGCAAGCTCTAGCTCAACATCGACTCAAAGAGCATAGGACTGCAAGAGGTCCGACTCTTGGGTTTCATTGAAATGCAATCCTATCTCAAAATGTACCACCACAAACTATAAGTCCTTTGTCCATTTTAGTCATGGGTTGGACTTTTCTTCATTTGATGACAGATCTCCAAGTTCCTCTGTGTCCGGAGCCAATTGCCGACCTAAGGTCGCTTTGTATTACTTTCTCCCATGTTTTCCGAGGTCTGCCTTCAATTCTAATAGGATACCCACTACCTCATGGTAGTAATTTTTGTCAACGTTTCATTGCATGCATACAAAATCAGGGCAGTCGGACCGCTTGCAAACCATGGACGAAGTTGATATATGCTTACCTCCAGCTCCATGTGTGTGATGCAGGCTAGACCTTCCTTGGCAACATCCTCAATAGCATCTATTGTCAAACCAAAGCAGTGACCAGATTGTTGGTATGTTAGTATAAAGTTTCCCTAATGAAAACAAAAAGAAAAACAAAGAAAATAAATTGAATACAGAAGATACAAAAATTAAATTCATCATTATCAGGTCCAAAAGAAAAACATTATGATTATTTTTACTATAATTTTAGGGTTAATTTCTAAACATCATTCTACGCCATGCACTAGGAAATGATAACTACTGCAATAAAATCTGTTGTTTAGGTATAAAATCGATCCTTTTTAACCAAAAAACATCTAGATTTTCAATAATTTGATTTAGTTGTGTTGAGCAACAACAACTTTTTTTAACATCATCATCATCGTCACCACAATTTAATTTCATCATCATCTTCACCAGCACCATTAGTCATTGCCATAATCATCTCAACAGCATACACCAATAATCATCTTCAACATCATCTCACCGCAATAAACATCAAGGTCTCTCCAAATCCATAGATATTATACAGGTTTAAAAAGGAATGGTCTGAAAAAATTACTTTGCTGGTAATCTTACCTGTTTAAGATTTTTTGTAAACTGTTCTGGTGTCACAAACCTGAAATCACAGCTCTCAAGCTCACCATTCTGTGGAGCACGGGTGGAATGTGGAACCCTGAAAAAAGAAATTTATGTGCAATCAAGAAATAAGGAAAAGCATATAAATAAAACAAAAAATAAAGCAATTAAAAAAAATTATAATTACTAACTTTCCACACTATAACATCATATGACAACTGTGGTATGCCCATATTTGATGCAATATGACATCATCGTACCCATATATGGGCATATCACACAAATTTGTCCCATAAAATAGTCTACTCACAAATAAGCATATGTGCACAACATTACATAAAATATTAAAGTCGAGATAAGCTGTGTCCACACACTAATCACATTTCATGTGACAAATAACTGTGACATGCACATATTTGGGTGTAATATGACACCATCGTACCCATATATGGGCATATCACACAAATTTGTCATATAAAATAGTGTACTCACAAATAAGCATATGTGCACAACATTACATAAAATATTAAAGTCAAGATAAGCTGTGTCCACACACTATCACATTTCATGTGACAAATAACTGTGACATGCCCATATTTGGGTGCAATATGACATCATTATGCCCATATCACAAATTGGTCACATAAAATTGTATAGTGCGGACAGAGCTTTATACACGAAGATGCAGGTCAGGTTCACATGAGAACGCTAGCATCCGGATCGGGAATTAACCGTAATTGACACCAGTGTGAGAACACCTGATCGGTTAGCACTTAACCGTTACCAGGATCCAGATACGCTAACGGTTAGCAAGTTGAGCGCCTTTCTTATCATTAACCAATTACACATATTTATTTCCAATTTCCAGTTTCCTATTGGCCAGTGATCCGATCATCATCATCTTTTTGGTATCTGGATGTGGGATTTTCTTGCATGAACGCACGAGTGAGCGCATATACAGTATTTGTAATCCAGATCCTGCTAACCATTAGCTGCCGTGTGTGAACATAGAAAACAAACAAATGCACATCACAATCAGACAGTAAAATGACAATCAAAAAGGAGCATACTCATGCTTATCTTACCCATAGCCAAAATACTCCGGGAAGTCCACAACTAATTTCTGAGCAAGCTCTCGTTTGCCAGAGCCAACAGGACCTACAAGTATGAGGATGGGATAAGGCTGGTCTGTTGTCGGTAGCGTGCTGGCTAACACTTTAGCTGGCTTGAGAAATGAGTAAACCATACATTTACGATGATCATGCGCTGCGACTACATCCGCTGGTGGGCTGAATAAGTTGATGGCTGCAATCTAAAAATATCATTAACTGTGAATAATGTGCTAATCATCATCGGGATAAATGAAAACATCTTATCTTGTGTTTTTAACACATTCATCGATGCAAAATGTTCTATCATCATCTTAATTATTATTTGAATTATATAATTGAACCTACCAATTAATATAAATTATTCCTATTTCTTGTTTTATTCCATCAAAAAAAATAAAGTTCATTAAACAAGGTATAAAATAACTCAAACAGGGTAATTCTCAATTTTATTTATTTATTATTTGCTTAAATGAAAAGGCTATTCATGAATTTTAAATTATTAAAACTCTATGTAAAAGATCTCAGTATCCTCTTGCTAACTAACTTTTTCATCAGCTTCTGCTCGTCTTCTATCCAACTCAGAGATTTGTGGCAATCTGAATAGTAATGACAGCCGATAGTCTGCCATACTCTGAATGGGGTTTCGCATTAGATTCAATATCCGTAACAATTTCAGATCCTCGATGAACTTGATATCGTTAATGAAAGGTATCTGCAGATATATTAAAAGAAATTTATTATTATTATTATTCTTATTTATGTTTTTTTTTTGACTGAAGAATTTGAAAAAATATATATTTTGTCTATAGTATATAACTAGAAATTATGTGTTTATTCTACAGAATGCTATAGAACAATTTCTTTTAATGGTTCAAACTTTTTGACAAATAATACAGTATATTCAGGTATGTTTAAAACTGATTCTTACATTGTTATCCTCAAGGTCAATGACCTCTAAGAGTTCATGACCCTCAAGCCCACTTAAGCTGGATATCTGATTGCCTGACAGGTTGATGTTCTGAAGCCATTTCAGGTTGCCAATGTTCTTAATCATGCACAGTTTATTTCCACTCTGAAAAGTAAAAAAAAAAAAATTATACGCATTACACTCGCACATGCTGTGCCTTCTATCTGTTAGCATAGATCTTGGTGATGATAGGATAGGAGGAGTACTTTTGCTTTGAATCATGGGCCACATTACACAGAGGACGAATGGGACTCGTCTCATCCAAAAGACGATGTGTTATCGTAACATTATTTCAGCCCTCCACAAGGATAGCAGCAATTCAAATTGAACTAGGGACCAATGACCTTACAGGATCTCTACAGTTCAATGCACATACGGTGGTTACAACCAGTTTAGCCAACAGATCTCACAGCAAATATGTTAGCCAACCAAAGAGTCATGTGGCAGTTAGCATTATACACGGAGTTTAAGTCCTTATAATACTGGTACAGCATGTTAGAGAATAAATATTAATAATATTCAAAATTATTATCATATAATAATTTATATTAGCTTTAATAAATAATGATAATGATCATAATGATCATTATGTATGTCCCCTCAGTATCTACAGGAACTTGTCCATAAATAAATTCCTTCAAGACAACTTCGCTCTAGCACAAAGCTGCTTCTCAATCATTTTAAAGTTTCAACCAAATGATATGGAGAGCAATCCTTTCAACATGCAGTGCCCAACCTTTGAAATCAGCTACCAAAGAATGTAGTGGATTGCACATCACTTGAACAATTCAAATTACGTCTCAAAAAATTCACCTATTTATTAAGAAGAGCTACACCACTAGAGACTTAATTGTAATTTGCGCTATATAAAAACTTATTATTATTATTATTATTATTATTATCATTATTATAATTACTAGGCGGTGGCAGTGATGACAAAGGTGACTATTGTTGAATTGGTAGGTAAGCTCTCTAGTCTACATACACTACAAATACCTTTTTACAGATTTATTTCTGATATAAATATTATTATCATATAATAGGTTTTCCTATGCAAAAATAACTTACCAAATTGAGATACTTAAGTGGTAGTCCTTGCATGTTTTCAAGTTCGCTGATATTGTTGTGAGCAAGGCTAAGATGGTTAAGACGAACACACTTTGATAAGCCATCAATCTTACTAATCTGATTGTCTGGTGAACCACATTTAAAGAAAATAAAATTCGGTAAATTAAATAAAAAATTATAGTGTTAACAATTTATTGTAAATTTCTAATCAATAATACACATATAAAAGAGAAAAATGTATTTATTGTTCAAGGGATAATCAACTGAGCCATTCCAAGTTCGCTCAATATAACTGTTATAGAACAACGAAGCATCTATGTGCATGTGCCTATTACGCGATAACATACAAGATCTGTTTACAATTTTCACTTTGGCCTTTTCACATGAATATCCCAGACCAAATGTCATGCCAGCAAGTTCTATTGTATAAGAGACAGTATATATATATATATATATACAATGCATGACTGAATTATAATAACTATTTAATATTTAATTTATTTGTACTATAATAAAAAGAAAAGTTACATAAACTAATTTTATTATAAACTGAAGTCACGATAGTGTGCAGAGAAATGAAAAGGATACTGTCAACAATCAACTTGGTGAGTGCATGGTGGGAAGATAAATTTTCCATTATTTCAATTTGATTATATGACAAATCAACCTCCTGAAAAAAAATTTAAAAATAAAGTTGTTTATTAATCACTGTAAAAGATATTCTGTAGTTGCAGTGATTATACACAGCACTATTAAAATTTCATAATTAAATGTTATTATAGATCAACATTTGAGCACATATAACTGAACTTCAATCAAATATAAATAATTTACCTGTAGATTTTGTGGTGGCTTAAAGTCCAGCATTGTTTTAATTTCATTATGAGAAGCATCTAGTTCTATCAAATAAGGCATGTAGGACAACACACTTAAGTCTGTAAAAAAATACAACCAACCAGTCATTACACAATATAAAGGTAGGAAAATAACCTATAACTTGCAGCGTCATTGTGCCGAATTGCATATAGGTGTGGTCTGTGACTACCTAGCCACTGTGAAAAGGCGCTTATAGCATAGAGAGCTTAGCTCCGTGTTCCCGTCATTCCACACCAGGGGCTGAAATGAACCATAGCATCTGTGTAACCCCCTAATCTTCCGAAAGATGTAATGGGTACTATGAAGTGCACATAAGCCAAATGTGTACACGGTTGTACATCCACTTTAAGTCCTTATCCAAAAAGAATTGGTTCTATCAGTATCAACCAAACCCTGGGCGAAGAGCAGCTAGAACCAGCACTGACGTCAAGGCGGTAGTTATCAGCACCCCTGCCTTACTGTTTCGTCACTCCCCTCAACAATATGAAATGTATTTAACAAGCTAATTACAAATATGTATACAGAGAATTTTGTAATTGAAGAGTGCATGCAATTATGAATAGATTCAAGGACATGTTATCCTTTTGTATCACTACATACTACCTAATTCAACAACAATTGCCTAGAAGTACAAAAAAAATCTATAATCAAGACATTAAATATATATATTTTTCTTTCCTTCTATTCATTTATAAATTTTCCTTAAACTGTGCTTTAACTTGTACTTGGCTTGGCATATGCACAGCAGCCAAAATGTTAATCATTTTGTTGTTTTTTTAAAATTTTGTTTTTACAGTAGCTTCACAATCAGAAACTTTGAGTTAATAAACAATTCTCCAATAACTAAAATATATAAATGAGCCATTCAAAACTCACCCGATACTTTATTGTATGGAATTTCAACCTTTTGGACATGAACAAACTCTTGCAATCTTGAAATATCTACCAGATTATAACCCTACAAAGTCATAACAATGAGAATTACAACAATAATATATTATTTATTTATTTTTATTTTATCTAGGTTTAGTATCCTGATCATCATTAACAACGAAAAGCGGTCTCAATATTTTATTTATAAGCCATGAATATTTGTACCAAAAATTGAATTCAATGATCGAATGCATACATTTATCCTTGGAGTAGACATCACATTATTACAAGAACTTACTGGCAATGTTAGATGCAGATAAACAAGCTGAGATCCATCTGATGAACGGCCTAAATTTGAAAGACCAAATGCTACTGTTTCTTCATCCAGGATACCATTTGGTGAGAGCTAGTATTAGAAAAATGTATTTTTAACAAAAATAGATATATATATATCCAATTTGAATGATTTTTTTACCATTTTATAGCTATTATTTTACTATCTAACACTGTATTAATAACTCAAAATCGATTTTTGCGACGAGTGACTGGTTTGGCTTGTCTTTGCCACATATGGTACCAAAATGGTACCGTATTATTAGTGCAAGGGCCTACATGAATTTAAATTACATGTTAATGATTTGATTAAAATTCCTAAGTCGTTTGTAATTACCACCTTTCAAGGCTGGCTGTCAAATTTATCTCGTTTTCGTCCTTGTTTTAGGCTTAAAAAAACTTATATTTTTAAAGGTAGAAAGTAGCTCCCTCCAACCTTACTTTTTAACATTTCTCACTAGGCCTAGCCTAGGCATAGGCAGAACTTTGGCGACAATTCAACAATAATGCCTAGGACATAAAGGACTAGGCCTAGCCTAGGCCTGTCCTATGGCCTATGCCCTATGCAATTGTATCGAACTTCAGACCCCCCTCTCACACCACACCACTCAAGGGTCAGGCCTACCTCGTCGTCTTCGGAACCTGAATTTTCAAATACTTGGCTTTGCTTTTCTGCATTATATATTTCATTGGACAATGGAGACGTCGAATCAACATAGTTTGCACTTCCTAGTGATAGGATATTAGTTTCATGACACGACTCTTGAAAGGGACTAAACGAAAGTTCTGTACTCATTGGCATTGCTAATCCCATGTCCGCCGCCATGGTGGTGTGTTGTTATTGTGCTAGGAGACGATTACAATGCACGACGGGATGCATAATATCATGTTTCATGTTTTCGTCGTATCGTGCGCCGCGTGTACTTTGCGACATACGTCCGTCAGCTGCGTCAACAGCTGTCGACAAACGATTTTCCATTTTTTGTCTTCTTCCAGATCAAATTTTCAAATCAAACCCACTTGTTATTACACATCTAGATGTGTATAAGAGACAGCCACATTTTTTGTAAAGATGTGTCCTCTGAAAAATATCACATACATGAAAATATGAAAATTATCTCTTTCCCAATTTTAAATAGGCCTAACTGGACTAACGAATTATGTTTCATCATGTTTTCCTTCTGTTTGTGGCCGGATTGATAAAAATGATAAACAGTAAGAACACATTCAGTCACTGGAAGTGTTTATCTACTCTGTAGGGCCTATATATATTTTTTAAATCTATTATTTTTTTTCACTATAATTGTATTTTTAAATTATTAAAAGTTATGTAACTGATGATCACAGTCATTACTTGCTTTTACTGTATCTTTATGTTATACCTTACTGACATCTTTTGATTATACCTACTCACGTCTGTTATACACCGGGTTTCATTTTAGGTTCTTATTTTAATCATGTTTAAATGATAGGCCTACCTAATGCTGGTCAAGACTTTCAAATTATTCTCATTGATAGACAATATTATTTCATTAAACGATGAAGAAAGTTGTTTTTAAATTTGTTTAAACAATATTTTATTTATATATAAATTTTATATAAATTTTAAAAAAATCAGAACTAGTAAAATTTACAAGCTTATAAATTGCGTACACTAAAAACTTCTCTATCGACTGTAACATTATAAGGCCTAATTTTTTTTTGGAAACTTAATAACTCCCCAGCTAACAAATTACGTTATAAGAACCTTATAATAATAACGTTACTAGTAACCTGCATTTTTTCAAACAATTTTGATCTAGGTCATCTTTGCGATTGAGCTATATATTTTATAACTCCGATCAAGATAAAGTCTGCTTTATGTATTGTTTATTAAGATCAATTAAGTCCATACAGATAATTTGCAAGGTGATCATGTCCTGAAAAAAACTTAAACTAGCAGTACCTTATTAATTAGGTGAACTCGTCACTGCAAACTGTTTTTTCCTTTTTTTAATGTTCCTGAAGTTCCATGGTCATTTTCTAAGAAAAGTAATAGGCCTATTTAATTATTAATTTAAAAAAAATTATACATATCCAAAAATATCTATGAAAATATTAGGAAACTATATTATAAGAGAAAACACTACAAAACAAAGACCCGGAGAAAATTTGTTGTTTTTTCATAGACAATTTTAGCAATTGCTACGCCCCCACTGCAATGAAAAGAAGAAGGGCGCCTCGTTCGCCCACTACACCACCACCGACGACAATCTACCTTCGCTTCGCCGCCATATTTTTTAGATGGAGAAGCGTAGAGAAATCGGCGGAATGGAATTGGACACCGAAACGATTTTAGACGCTTTAAATGGTAATGTTTATGTTTTTATTTGTGTGTTTTTATGGCTGTTAATGTTCTGCTTTTTATTATAAATTTGTTAATTTAATTTTATTCCAGATTTTGAACGTAAGCCGTCTCCAAACGTACCCCCTGTTCTCGAGAATCTCTTGATATGGATAGCGAAGACGGGAGATACCTTGTAAGTATATTGGTCTTCCTAGCCTAGCCTAGTCTTACTGTTATCCATAGTCCTACCTCGGGCTGGTATTTCACTGTGACATAATAGGTGATACATTGTTTGAAGGAAAGCAGGGGTGGCGTAAGGATTTGGCCGGGGGGGGGGGGGGGGGGGGGGGGGGGGGCGGCCGAGGTCCCCGACGAGGGGGTCGATGCCCCGACGAGGGGTCAGATGTCCCCACGAGGGGTCAGATGTCCCCGACGAAAGAAAGTGGGCGTGGTCGAGCTTCCATTAAAAGGTCTCGAAAGTGGTCCTGGCAGCAGAGCCCACGAAAATTTTGACAATTTAGCGGTTTCAAAGGCTTATTTAATCGATTTTATACTTCTACTACTACTAATATGTAGAAGATGCATATAATTTTTTTTCTCTCCGACAAATTGTGCTTTTTCTCCCCGATGGAGGGGGGGGGCTGGCCCCCCCCGCTGGCACCACCCCTGAAGAAAACGTCTGGTTTGTTTTATAGTTTATTTTAAGAACAGAGGTAGGGAATGTGACACAAGTTTTTTACACTCTCTCTGCCGCCTCCTATTTATCACAGTCTAGGGCCTAGGCTAGGCCTAGTAAGAGGACTCACTTTACTATTTAAGTAAAGGTAAGAGTAAAGCCACATTTACACTAGACACAATTACGACAACGACATATCGCATAGTTTGTATTCTAGATGCGCGCATCTGTATCGTGTCGTCGTGTCGTAATCGTGTGTAGTGTAAATGAGGCTTAAGACTGTTGTTAGTTTTTAAAGATGTTTAAAGACCCCCCCCCCCGAAAATGACATCCTTAAAAAAAATAATTTTGAAATGAAATTGCTCATTCTGCAGTAAGTACCTATTAATTTGAGCATAGGACTAGGCTAGTTATTGAATTTAAAAATTGTGTACCCTGATTTTTATATAACCAATCACTCTTTGCAAAAATTGATTTTTTGAGTTATTAATACAGTGTTAAGAGTAAAATAAGAGCTATAAAATGTAAAAAAAAAAATTATAACTCCGATATTTCCTTATGAAGTTACAACCATTTAAACATATAGCTGTTTAAAGAACAATATAGAGAAATCAGCCTTCAAAATTTATGATTTTGGGCATTTCCCATGCAGAAACTATAATAAAATCCTTAAAAATGTTGTTTTAACATTGAAAATGGAAAAAGTAACAGCGAACAATAATGTATAGATATAAAGGTTAGTTTAATGCAATAAAATAGATTTTTAACACTTTCCAACATGTTTTGGCCATTTTCTCTGAATCATGCTTTGGCTTGTCTGTGCCACATATTGGATAATGATGATAATAATGACATTGGACAATACATCTTTAAATTTAGTTGGTTGTTTGACAATACATGAATTTTTGTCATCGATGAAGCAGTTTTTTTTAGCTACCTGGGCCTCTATATAATATATAGTGTTATAGTGTCATTTTTACTAAGAAATGTCAATTTTGGGCACGGAGAAGTCAACGCTCCATGAGTGTTCCCTCTAAACGGATGCTAGCGTGCTACAAATGCTCGATATTATTACTACTTCCACATCATACACCACCACACGGAACCAAACAATACCACAGAGATGTGTTTAAATAATAATAATAATAATAATGATAATAATACACATTTTTAAAGCGCAAAGCAAACAAAAACTGGCTTGTCACCGGCGCTGGAAGATGCTAGAAAGAAGTTGAATTATTAAGAGGAAGGATTTAGGACTGGATTTAAATAATATAATATAGGCAGTGGCTATTCTTAAGCAGACTTAAACCAATTCTTAATTCCGATTGGATGTTTTTGTGTGAATTGGATTAGGGCAATTACATCAAATCAGAATTAGTAATTGATTTAAGACTAGTATACAGGGGCGGATCCACACTGTAAATTATTTTATATGCGTGGAGGATATCTCGAAAACAAAACACTTGCGCTGAAAATCGCTAGGAAAATAGGTGCGCAGAAACGAAAATACTGCTTATAATACACATTGGAAGTATATCATGGCTTTCACTGCTACATCAGCCTTGATTAGTGAAGTGTACCACCAGGTTCGTCGATGGATAATTAATAAATTATACTGCTCCAGATTAGGAATGTAATATAATGATTAGGGTAGATAATGGTACAAGTAGGCTAGGCCTACATCACACACTACAGCACCTCCGTCAACAATATATACAACAGGACATCAATGAAGTAGAGTAATGCATTTAAAACTAATTAATTATAATATTAAAGCGATTGTATTGGTTTTTTTATTTACCAAACATAAAACGGACTGACTGATGTCCAGCCTTGAACAGCTGTTACAAAATTAAGAACGCTGAAACCATTTCCGTTGGTTCTTTGCTCTAAAACTATTATCATTGGTTTAACAATATTCAAAAGAAGATGCCTGTTTTTATGGTGAAAACCCTCAAAAACATTTTGGAAGATATTCAGTAATCAGTCAATGAAAAGGCCTGTTTTTCCCTTTTGAGATATCGCAGGGGAACACCACAGACAGTACTATATGTGGCAAAGACAAGCCAAACCAGTCACTTGTCGCAATAATCAATTTTTAGCTATTAATTCAGGGTTAAACAGTAAAAATGAGAGCTATAAAATGGTAAAAGAATCATTAAAATGCGATAATTCCTTATGAAGTTACAAGCGTTTAAACCTGCACTGATAATGAAGAGGCACATACCAGTCCAATTACAGGATCACTACAGTTCAGTAGAAGTGGCGATTCACCTGTAAAAAATCAGCTATTGGAAAAAGCAAACAACATGAAGTCTTCCTACAGCATTAAGGTTAAAGCCCTTGCATATCAGCCCTTTGAACGGTCAAGCAATGCCACATCTGTATCTTATGACGTGTGCAATCCAAACCCTATTGGAAGATCACACTATGATAGTCGATGAAAGAAGGGTTTATCAAGTCCGAGCCGGTCTTACAAAATGGCTACAAGTAATTGCAGAACTCTGAATAGTCAAGCTTCTCGTGCAGAACTCAACAAACACATTAATAACTATGATATTAACGTTACCTGAAGAAAAAATTATTGACTTTTACAGTGATCTTGGAAACGCCATAATTGACATACCAGCACATAGAATGCTTCTCATTGGTGCCGACTTCAATGCAAAACGGTCCTCTCAATTCTCGTAACACACAGAGGAAAACAGAAATGAGATTTTATCCTAGAACGTAACCTCATTGCAGGGAATGTCTCATTCCAGAAATCAGGCTCCAAGTTATGGACATGAAGATCTCCAGAAGACGATCTATCTCAGATTGATTACTGCCTTTATAGGTGATGTCGAAACAGCATCCGAGACTGCCAGGCCCACACATCCTCCGATCCAATTGGAAGCGACCATAGAATTATCACTTCAACTGTCCAATTAAGTTTACATGATACCAAAATTTCCACTCATAAAAGACTGTTCTGGCGTGCAGTAACCAGTGATACTCAACTTGCTGCTCCTATTGATGATTCAATAAACAAGAAATTCTTACTACTCCCCAATGATTGTAAAACGTACACCAACTTCATTAACATTAGCAATAAAGTTGGAAATGAACTACCACCCAAACCGGCCCAAGCTCCAGGAACAGTTGACTGTGCTCTGGTGGTTGCAGCTCGCAGAGCAACCCCGCAGTACAAGAAATGTCCAAGCGAATCAGATAAACCTCTGCAGGACATTCAACAGATGTGAAGATGATCGTATAAACAACATTCTCTCTTCATTGTGCTAAACAATCAACAGAGACCAAGACTGCATGGAGGCTAATGAAAGAGCTGTCGGGAAAGAATACAAAATATACTGTTTTTGTTACCAGAGCAGATCGTCTTCAGACATGGAAAATTCTCTTCAAAAATCTTCTCAATGCCGATCCAGAACATCCCGTAGATGACACTCCCATTCAGAAGGTTTTTGAGACCCATCATGATGTAAAGTGTGACATAGTCTCCACAGACGAAATAGATACAGCACTAAAACAAATGAAGAATGGAAAGGCCCCTGGACTTGATGGTTTACAAATAGAATTCTGGAGGCTTCCCAATGTTAGAAAGAGTCTAAGGAGATTCTGCAACACCACATCCAACAGCATCAAACCAAAAGAGTGGGGCTTATCAGGTCTCGTTCCTATACTTAAAAAGGGCGACCTCCGAAACACTAACAATTACCATGGTATTTCACTGACACAAGTTGCATCGAAAATCTACAACCGTCTTTATTGAACCGTATACGCCCTGTTATTGATAAGGTGCTTTGACCAAACGAGAATGTCTTCCGTCGAGAGGTCGACAGCAGCTCACTTACTGGCACTCCAAAGAATTGTCAAGGAACTCCAGAATTTCAACAAGGAAACAGTAATTGTGTTTATCGAGTTTTCAAAAGCCTTCGACTCCATCAACCGAAGCAGAATGTTTCAGATACTGGAATCCTATGGTCTTCCTACAAAGATTATATCTGCCATCAAAACCATGTATGAAGAAACATCTGCACTAGTGATTACACCCGAAGGCAACACCGAAACATTCAAAGTCGACACAAGGTGACCCTCTTGCACCATTTCTTTTTATCGTCTGTCTAGACTTGCACTCAGAATGGCTATACAAAGCAATCACGGATTCACACTTAGATTACGCCGATAAAATTGCGCTACTTGACTACTCATCCCACCAGGCTCAACAACTACTACTACGAGTTGAATCAGAGTGCCAAAAAATCGGTCTGTTCCTCAATGCATCTAAAACCAGGTTTATGCATCTCAACCCATCTGAATATGGACCACTATTCTCAATCGACAACACACCTGTTGAAAGAGTTCACGATTTCAATTTCTTTGGCGGATATATTAAGACTTAATATGACCTGAGAATTAGGATTGGTCAAGTCTGGGGAGCCATCCATTCATTAAAAAAGGTCTGGCATGCACCAATTAAAAAGTCAACCATAACAAGACTTTACGTTTGAGCTCATTTCTACTATGAGAGATAAAGTAAACAGGAGGCAGAACTTTGTGAACGCTTCAGCAGTTCTGTAGGGAAGAACTAACCAAACATACAGCTGTTCAAAATTTCGGGCATTTCTGGGGCAGAAGCCATCACCAAATCGTTAAAAATTGTTGTTTAAAAATTGAAAATAGGGCTATAGCTATAATAAAGGTTAGTTTAGTACAATAAAATATATTTCAAAATTTTGAATTCCAGCATGTTTTGGTCATTGTCTCTGAAACACAATTTACTTGCTACTTGCAAGATTGTGGTGGGTCTGTTGGAAAGCTAAAAGCTTATATGACCCTTCAGTACAATTTAATATTTTGCTTCCAATTTTTATGTTGTGGGGTAAATGCAAATGATGAAAAGTGCAAAATTTCGAGATTAGAGTAAAACTATGTGATAAGAAGGATTATGAAAATGAAATGACGTTATTGCAAATTAAAATGAAAACTTATAAATAAGAGAAAATAAATTTACAGTCAAGAGATTTCCAATGGTTATTTAAAAGAGATTTAAAAAGATTGACAGAAGAAGTTTGAACCACCTCAGATTGAAGACTACAGTATTCCAAGAATTGACCACTCTACAGCTATAAGAATACTTCCTTTATTTCAAGCCTAGCCATCTTTTTAAACAATTTGAATCTGTCAACTCTAGTCTCTTGGTAGTCAGAAAATGAAAAGAAAGTGCTGAAATTGATAATATCAAAACTGTTAATGATTCTAAAATTTGGATCATATCTGATCTCAGGCGTCTGTATTCCAGTGTGGGAAAAGCTAGATACAGCAATCTGTTTGGATAATCCAAATGTCTTATTTCATGTAATATCTTAGTGGCTCTTCCCAGAACAAAGTTTTGCGACAAGTGACTTGTCCTTGGTTTGTCTTTGCCACATATATCTTCAAAAAGGTATTTGCTGCATCTTTTTTTTTTCCTTTTTATTTATGATATTCTGTATATTATTGTTCATTTAGAATTCACATAGTTTTTTTTTGTAAGTTAAGCGCAATGCCGTTTCTGTATGTTTATTATTTTAGATATCCATGGAAAAAACTTAAACCTTTATTTATCTGTAAGCTGGAGAACGTCATACAGGAATATGTAACGGTTAATGCCGAGGAGGTCCTGCTGGCGCCAAATGTTGAAAATGTGGATTTTGATGACATGCGTCAGCGCCTTGTAAAAGCCATAAACACCTTTTCCTAGTAAGTACTTAATGAAACTACCTCTATTTTTAATATCCATTAAACTGGGGCATTTAGTTTTCTTGATTCAAGATTAAATAAAATTCAGTTACAGTATAAGGGTACTGTAGGTTGTAGATGCATTAAATACGCCGCTCATAACACTACGCAGTACATTGCTGCTTGCACTGCGGCATTACTTGGAATACTCCGAACCAATCATTTATAACTATATATAAGATTATGGATTAATTTTGTTTTTCTTAAACAGCGCACCTTTTACAATCCAACGACTCTGCGAGCTGGTAACAGACCCAAAGAGGTACTACAAACGCAGTGATAAGTTCATGAGAGGAATTGAAAAGGTAAACAAAAAATAGCTATATTAAACATTGTTCCAATATTAAATACTAACTAAATAATCTACCATACAATATTTATATATTTTTAATTTTATGTGTGAATATTTTGTAGTTGTATGTTTATTTTCTTTTATATGTAGTGTTCAAACTGTAACTTTGTGGTTAAGATGTTTATCTTACAATTTATTGGCGCAATTTCCATTAAAAACCATGGGTTCGTTCTTCTTTAAACTAAAAACATCTCCTACTGTGAGCCTTAAATTTAAAAAAAATATATAAATAAAATTCTACCCACCATCTTTATACCACATCATTTGTTATCCCATGTAAATACTTTGTATTTTATTGGTTTTCAAGCATTGCCATTATTTAGGAAGTACAGTACATATTAATCTGCCATTATCATTTATTTTCAGAACATAATGGTCGTAAGCACTGTTTCGCCTAATGGGAAGAGACAGACAAAAACCAGTGATTTTGAGAAACCGACTGTCATGATGAATGGTATTGACACTGACTGTAAAAACCATTACCATGACAGCTTAAATGATGTTGCAGAACAGACCGACATCGAAAAAAGTGAAAATGTTTCTAAAACAAACTCAAACAATTTAACTGAGTCTACACTGTCTGTAGATAGTAACACAGAACAAAAGACTAATGTAGTGTCACAAGAGAGTTCAAGTCCAGACAGCTGTAGTGAAGATCACATTGAGCAAGTATCTACGCAACAGGGTACGTATTTTCAGCTCCAGTGAGGAGCTCTAGAAACACTTGGTTGATTGATTAATAGATCTTTTTTAGATCTACTGCCTCTATTATACTGCCCTCATGAGGCTGATTGATTAATAGATCTTTTTTAGCTCTGCTGCCTCTATTATACTGCCCTCATAAAGAGCTCTAGAAACACTTGGCTGATTGATTAATAGTTGATTAATTAATTATACTGCCCTCATTGGAGCTTTTGAGATTACAAGAACTTGTTGAAACATGATAGTAGTATGCTACTCTTCCGGGTCATTAGCTTGCGCAGCATTGCAATTCAGAGGCTCAATGTTAAGGTCAGGTTTTTTTTTTAACTCTGACCTTATGTGTCTTGGGCAAGACACTCCACCTGCTGCTGTTTTCCACCCATGAATATAAATGGGTACTTGGTTAGGCTCGCAATGCTAATGCAATGATTACTAGCTTTAATAAAAAATGTTATGTTTGTGTAACCCAACCGACCGTAAACATTTGGCCGGCCCTAGACATTTTTATTAAAAAGTTCACAATACAAGTTTACAAACATAAAGAAAAATTGCAAAAATAACTGGAAATACATATTCTCTAAAAAAACGTAGCTTAACAATATGCAACCAGCACACTGTATGCTGTTGTTTCATAGCAGTGGGTTTTTTGAATTATCAATAATAATAATAATAATGAAAATAATAATAATAATAATAGTGTAGTTTCATAAAGCCGTATCCATCAAATTAAGATGCGCTTGATGTGTGGACTATGAACTCAATCACTGACTTTCTTTGCCCCTAAGGGTCCCTTCGTGTCTTTGCTGCCCAGTAACCCAGTACCAGCAACTCTTTTTGTTTACCACAGGAGTTGTCTGTTCCAGTACACCGGGCTATACCCCTACTCGTCTCGAATGATGTACTGGGTACTTTATAGTGCACATGAGCCATTGTATACACTGGGCCTACAGTTTATAGTCCTTATCCGAGAAGAATTGTTCTACCCCCGGAACCATAGGCGAGCGTGCTGTTCGAACCCTGCTAACCGCCCAGCCATTCGACTTGCCAGGAGATCCCTAAATCTTAACAGATGTTGAGCAGGATGGTCATTCGAGTTGATCCCTCTCTATGGAACCAGAAACATTTATATCTATATTATTATTAACTTCTCTTCCTTCAAAAACATTTAATATTAAATAATAAAATAATGGTGATCTTCAATGTAATTAGTTAGGGCGAGACACTTTTTAACCTTGTTTAGCGAACCCGTTGCCGCCAATGATGATGATTTCAAATAAATATATGATTTTATTTTTGGCCAATAAGCGCACCCGCCGCCACAAAAAAATGGAAATTTCAGAAAAAATATAACTTTTTCTATATTTTTATTACGTAACGCACGTTGCTGTGTTGAAATCGCCAAAAGTAAGATATGTATATATCCTAATTATATAAATTTTATTCATTTAACCATTCCATTCATTACTACTTCTGTTCTGTCTGCATTTTTTTGGCTAGACCATTCGCTAAATAAAAAACAAAACTTTATTTTTATTTTTTTTCGCCCTCCTGATGATCTTAAGTCAATAAGTTTGCAAAACATGGTACAGACAAAGTCTCGCCTACAGTATCGCCTACTGTAGGCTAGGAATACAGTAATAAGCTTGACTGGGTGAGTGACATTTTACGGCCATTTGCTGATTATTGTGGGGAAAAAAAAATCTACCTACTTACCCGATTTTTTGAGGCTTGTTACGTCAACATAACATTTTTTTAGGCCTTGCTATTTAATTCTCACTCGTGGGAGCTGAGTATGTATTGCATAGGTGACCCAAGTAATAATATAAATGCATAGAGGCCTACAGTAGTTGGCTATGTAAAAACTGGTATATATGTATTTGACCCTTTCTTTCAGATCCCCTGTCAGGCTGGATGGCAAATTTCTAGAGCCACCTATTGTACTTAAGCAAGACGGTTATGTCTCCACCCAGAAGGGTAATTGTGTAACTGTTAGCTATTAACTAAATCATTATGACAAAGTTACACAAAAGAGGAACATTGTGTATTATGATAGATTGTGTGTCTGTTTCCAGGGGTAATTCAAGTGCATAAAGATTAAATATATCCCCATAAATGTGTAGCCTTCACAAATTGTTATTGATCAAACATAATGGTCTAAAGAGCTCTACATACATGTAAGGTAATAACTTGACATCTTTCCCCATTAAAGTATTATCAGTGTGATTGAGCTTGTTAAATGTGTGTAAATTTTTTTATTATTATTATTGACCTCACAGGTACTCAGGAAATATCAAGTACAGAAGTTGAAAATACAAAACCCGCAAATGAGGAAGAATTAACAAAAAAAACGTCTGAACAAAAATTATCAGAACCTGAATCAACAACATTACCTCCTGAATCAAATAATGATGATCCTGCTGACTCTGGCGAATCGGGCAACTCCAATGAAACTCCAGAGACCTCATTAGAAGCAGCCTGTGAATCTGAGACCAAAGATCCAATACAAGACAATGAAATGGACCAAAGCTGAGGTTAGGCTTTGAATTGGTGTGAAAACTGAAAGACACCCTGCCAGGAAATATGAAGGTGTAATTTTTGGGAGGATTTGGTCTGTTGGTGAGGAGTAGATACATTTCAGGGAATTTTAAACTTCAAGACTTGAGCAAGCAAAAATACATAGGAATTTACCATCTTGGTGTGAAATATTTTTGTAGCCTGAAAGTGCTAGCTTGATACACTGTGGACTATGTATCATGTTGTGTTTGTACAGTGGACAGTATTTAAAAAAATGTGATTTAAAATGCGCATTCTCATATGAAATTCATGCCGTCTTCATATGATTGCCTACTGATTTCTAATTTCTTGAATTCACAAAAAAACAGATTGTGAAGTACATAGTATTTTGTGAAGATGCAATAATTCCAGCCTGCAATGCTATGAATAGCTTAACTTGTAATATTTGCTGCTTCTGATTGGACATCAACATTCACATATTGTACACTGATGAACTGAGAACTGCTTGTTTTAAGAGCAACTCAAGATAAGCTCAATGGAATTTGTTGAGTATTTTGAGAAGGATGCAAAGACTTGACTTTGTAATTTTTTTTTTTAATGATGATGATGATTTAGGAATTGTGCTGTTTAAAAAATATATGTAACAATATTAAACAAATGCAACAGTCTCCTGAACTAACTGCCACAGATTATGGTTACATTAATTTCTTACTAGTGCTACAATTCCATTCCCTGATACAAGAAATATTCTTGCTGATGTATCAACCTTTTTTAACTTAAGTTCTGCATTTTTTCATCCATCATTATGGTTGTGTTTATTGTCCTCAATATATATCCATGTCAATGTCATGTCCTGCTTGAAATATCTTATCAAAATACAGTAATTGTTTTGTTAGTTTACAAAATACAGTACTTGAATGCCTGTGAATTAATGAATACATGTAGAACTCCTGCAAATTAATAATAAAGATTCTTGACAGTTGGCACAATAAACAAAATATATTTAATTGATAATAATGTTTTCAAAAAACCTGTGTGTAACTGCCAAAATAATCTTTTAATGTCATTTGTTGTCATTACAAAATTTACCTGTAGCTACAGGTAGTTGTCTGTTGTTATAGTTAAACTTGCCTAAGTCAACTTTGCCTCTAAAGTCAATCTTATTTTACATGCCAAATTGTTGTGTTTTCCATTAATTAACTATCTGTAAGTCAAATTTTATCCAAGTCAAAACAGTTTTTCAGTGCCAGTTTGGAGTCGACTTAGGCAATTTTAACTGTGTTTCATCCATGTTATTGCTTTTTGGATCGTAGATTTAATGTACCGTATTGTTACTTGTTATCTATTATCTGGCAACTTGCTTCTTGCTGCCGGATATTCAGAAAGGACTTTGCAATGAAGTTATTTCTTGTTTCATTTCAACCTTCTTCACCTGTGCGTGTAGGTTATGTAAATATACTCGTGTGTTTTAGAAATCACTTAATGTGAATGTAAAGAACAGAAATTGAATGAAATAAAATTCCTGGTCTGAGGACAGAAATTACTATGGCTTGCATTGTGTTTTAGTTGAGGTTGTGTTGCAGTAAATATAAATTGCTAATAATAATACATTATAATTCTTTATTGGTTCTCATTCGAAATCGGAAATTAGTGCAGCACCACCCAACTTAACTACCACGTATAACGGACACATACGGATACAAGCATTGTCCTAAACCCGCATAATTGTGAGGGTTATTCAAGGAGCCAAACAATCGGACTCCAAATTTAAAACCCAACGCTGGCTGGGTTTGAACCGGCATCTTCAGCACAAGAAGTAGGAACAATACCTCTCAGCCAACCGCTCAGCATGAATGAACAGTAGCAGAGATGATCTCGCTAAGGTCATGTTCCTTTGCCAGAATGATATGTTGCTGAAATGATTTTTGGCAAAAGCAACCCTATTCCAATGCTGTGTTGAACTGTTTTCTAAAACTGTCATTCCACCACTGAGGTAATAGCCATTATCTGCCTCTATTTTTGGTATCTCTTTTCCATTGGAACTTGTATGAAAACATTTCTTTTAGAAGCAGATTTAGGTGAAAAAAAACAACGTACCGACCCAAATTTTACGAAAATCATGGTCGGCATTTTATTTATTTTTTATTTTTTTATTTATTTTTTTTTAACTACAAGGAACAATATTTTTTTTTTCATGAGCTAATTAATAAGGCTGAAATAGCCTTGGACTAGGCTTGGAGGCTAAGGCCTAGCCAATTTTGGTGGATGGTACGCGATGCAAATCCAAAATTGTTGTATTATTTTGTGTATTTTATACTTTTTAAGCATAAACACATTTTTGGTTTAAAAAAAAAAAAGTTTTTCTACCTACCTACCCATTTTTTGGATTTTCCCAAAACGTGGCCAACGCAAAAATTTATTTTTTTTGACCTTATCAAAAACTGGAGTGACAGTGACGTATCTAGAAGTCCTAAATTTGGGAGGGGGGCTTGATGATCAGTTAAGGGGCACTAATTCGCAAAATATGGTGATTTTTAACTACTTGACCGTGATTTTTTTTTGGGGAGGGGCGACTGCGGGGTGGAGGGTGGCATGATTATTTTTTGGGGGAATGTACCCCCACGCCCTCCCCTAGATATGCCACTGTGGAGTGTTATAGATAGTATATACATAATATATGAGCAGTGGGATAGAATATTTTCGTAAGTTTGTGAACAGTGTAGAGCGTAATTAACGTGCAAGCCTGATGCATGACTGGAATGTTTTCTTGAGTCAAAAATAACATTCAGTGTGTTAATTAATGGAAATCTTTGTCCTCTTGACACGATTCTGTTCTCAAGGTTTTCAAAATTACTAAAAAAAAATTAATATTTCTAGATTAAGAACGTAATTTTTTAAGGATAATTTTCTATATAATAATAAACACTAGATACTGAATTATAAACATTGAATTATAAAAGTCAAATGGATAAATGTTTTAAAATTTGCATCAAATTTGATCATCAAATAGTATATTTATTGAAAATATTATTAACCTGGTTTATTTCAATTTTATATTTTGATATTTATTTATGTATTATTATACTATCTATTGATCTTCGAATTTATAGACTAATGCTAACAATATGTTGTTTTAGAATCAATTTAATTTAATTTCAATATTTTCTCAAAATTTACTAAAGTCTGTCTTGCAAGTCTAACATGCTTTACTGAAATCTCAAGTATTGGGGGCGGTATATTTGATGGGGAAGTGACACGCGTACGAAGCTTACGTTGTTCTCACCACGAAGCCGGGTGGCTTTTGAAGTTTTTCTCTTGAATTAAAACATATAGGCCTAGTCAGTAATCATGGTAAGCGGTTTTCTTTTATTTTCATATCATTCATCATAAATTTAGTTTGTATGCAGTCTTTAAAAACATACCACCACTGAATCAGTTCAGTAGCTTTATCTGAATTTGGCTAGGCCCAAGCTGCTGCTGGCCTGAGGTCGGACGAAGGCCGACTTCACTTAGCCCGCCTAGAGCGATTGAAATAGGTTTTAGCCCCCATGGATAGTGTCCAGTAAGTAGGCCTAGGCCTAAGTAGTCTAGGCCCTATACAAGAAAATTATAATGTAATTTTTTTTTATATTCTATCTACAGTATTCTTAAATACTTTATTTACAATAATATCCCAGAAAATATTTCAGCTGAGCCTAACTCCCAAGTACTGCTGCTGGTCGCTTGTTGACCAGCTGAGAATGAGAATATTGTGAGGCAGTTCTGAACTTAATCAAATTTTGTTATTATTAGACTAGGCGTAGGCCCTACTGTATATTATTCTATAAAATGTCAACAAATATCTTCAAATCTATTATTAAAGTTAAACATCTGGTGATCCATATGAAAATTTTGAATATATACAGTAGTATTACTATTATTATTCATATTAGAATTTAAGCAGCTGTCATTTATGATGTGAATTATATAATAATTATGGTTTCCGGTGCTTTCATTTTTGTCTGCAATTTAATTACTTTACTTCACTAAATTTTTTTAAATTGTATTTCAATGATTGGATTTTTTTTTTTACCATATAGATATTTTTGGTAGAATTTATAATTTTATTTTTACTTGTGTTCTATAATTTAAATGAATTTTATAATCAACAATTTTGATTACTGTAGGCCCCTGGGGACACACAGCAGTCGTAGTTTGGTACCTACCATTTCCAGTACGTTGGGTGACAATTGCCTACATTGCAAATAGTATGCAGCATTCTTTTTGCTCATGTTCTTTTATAACACACCAACAGCTTAATGACCCATTCAAAGGAGGGGGGGAGGCCATTAAATCAAAGTGTTGAACACCCAAAGATACAAGCAGTGTCTGCTCTAGGATATAATTCTGGGGAGTGGGGCTAAGATGTCTGACTAGGGGAACTAAGTATTTATTTGTGTAACTTTAGTGCGCAGCATTATCTGAGAGCCGAAGGCCCGAGCACGGGGGTGAGTATGAGAGGGGGTGTCCCCTCCTCCCAAAACAAGATTTTTTTTTTAATTGGGACTTCTAAATGGCTAGAAATGGCTGGAATGGGAAAACTAGGCCTATTTTTTTTTTCTTTTGGTCCGACTACTCGACGAGCTTTGGCCAATGCGAACCGATTGGGGGTTTAAGCCTCTGAAATTAGCTTTAGACTGGGTGGAAAACTTCAAGGCTGGGTGGCCAAGCTCACCATAACTACATCCCTAAGTACAACATTGGTAGGTCTCAAACTTAATTCATCTCCACCAAAATCCAATCCATTATGCCTCTGTCCTATGACCCTTTTACAGTGTCTTTCAATATTGTAGAATTTAATTTCTTATGTACTTATCATCATGCACTGACTATTACAATACACATATTTTCTCTATTTCCAGGTCTCTGTTATAAATACTGTTGATACTGCACATGAAGATATGATTGTAAGTAGTAAACTGATGCATGTAATTCGTTTATACAGTAGCTCTGATCATCACACATCATTTTTGTGTGACCTATGATTTGTCCATATATGGGCATGATATGACATCATGTCCATATATGAGAAAGTCATAGATATTCGTCACATGGTTAAATTTTGTTTGTGCCTATCATCAAATCACTTTAAGCCCTGTCCCCAACTATCAAATTTTATTTAAGAGAAAGATGGAACATGCCTAAATATGGTCATGATGACATCACATCATAACCATATATAGGCACATCATGACTAAATATGGGCATACAACAGGTTTTTGATAGTGTGTACACAGCTAATGCTCATCATCATCCTTTTTATAGGCCTAATTATTATAATTTAATTTCTTGTACTTTCTAAATTTTCATGATTGGATAACAATTATATTTCCCCTCCACTCAGCATGATGCACAGATGGATTATTATGGGGTGCGTCTTGCCACCTGTTCCTCAGACAGATCAGTCAAAATATTTGATGTTGTCAATGGTCAACAAACATTAGTTGCAGATTTGAGGGGGTATGTATTTTTTGCTATTGATTTTTTTCACTTCAAAATTTCATAACATTTGTTTTCAAGCAACATACTGTGCATTATGAAGATAATATTTGTATTAGATCAATTTTACAGTAGTATTCTTGGGATATTAGCCCCTTTATTTTGCCATTTTTTTACAAGTTTTTTCTTTAATATTGGTTATTTTCCTGCTCTATAATTTTACTTTTTATTAATGTATCTCTGTTATTAAGGTGAATGAATAATGTAAAAGTTTGAGTACCTATTTTGTTACTTATTGAATTATATTTTTTATTCAGTTTTTTGAAGACAAAAGTTATGTTGTGACAGTAGAGATAAAATGTGGAGAAAAACAAGTGACTATTGTATAGTGCTGTATCAAATCGATTGCTATTGTCATTGTTATTTTTGTATGTATATATTATGTTAACAAGTTGTTTCTTATTCCAGAACCATTTTAAACATATGTTATCCTAGTAAAAAAAAAAGTTATAAATAAAAAAAAATAAAAAAATTATAAAAATCAAAAAAGTTAGAAATTTTTAATATCTGTATTATTATTAAATATTACCTATATATTTTTGATGATGTTATTAATTTTATTATTATTATTGTTCTTATTTATAGTCATGAAGGCCCAGTATGGCAGGTTGCATGGGCACATCCAATGTTTGGCAACATCCTGGCATCTTGTTCATATGATAAAAAAGTATTGATTTGGAGAGATTGTAATGGCCAATGGGAGAAAATATATGAACATGGGGATCATGACTCATCAGGTAAGATGTCTACATGACCTTTAACCCTATAGTAGGCCTAATTATTAAAAAATCTAAGAAATTGCAAAAACTTTGCTTCTTTGGTCTTAAACAAACTTTGTTATAAGAACTCTTTGCATAGAAGTGATGTTTTTCCCTACCTGACGTGTTATCGTGCTAAAAAAAGATTAAATCTAAAAACTCCTGATAACTAGCCTGGTGTCATAACCACTAGGCCACCGAGCTTGTGCTAAGTGACTAGTGTTGAATCCTCTTGGCATGCTTCTAGGTGACTCTGTTACAAAATGAAATCCTACTGTAAATCTTACCATCATATTTATACTGTATTATAAATGTACTTATAAACCATTTTTGCATCCGTAACATGTTTTTTTTTTTTATAGTGAATTCAGTACAGTGGGCTCCCAGGGAATTTGGTCTAGTACTAGCCTGTGGGTCATCTGATGGTTCAGTGTCCATTTTAAGCTACAGCGAAGGCCAGTGGTCATCAGAAAAAATCAAGGAAGCTCATTCGGTAAGCAAACCAAGCACATGTGGACATTTTTATTGGTCAAATTATAATTTCTTCACTTCTGCTATTTGATCATTATACTGTAGAACCCATCCTTTAGTTCACCCCTATTAAGGGGACACTTTTCAACCAAAAAACAAGGGAAAGTATCTTTAATAGTACGGCCAACCCCTATTCAGGGAACACCCGTATTAAGGGGAAACTTTTTGCTCCCGAAGGTGTCCCCGTAGTAGGGGTTCTACTGTATTGTATTAGTTACAGTGTGTTGATATATTGTGCGTTTATAGTGCTCTGTTTTATTTAATTTTTTGGCTCAGAGCCAAGGATATTCTAATAGTAAACTTAATCACTTTACTAAGTGGCAATCTTTTCACAAGACAAACATATAAACAAGATACTCAACATAGACTAAGTCTCATTATGAGGGGTTAAGGAGTTGTTTTGGTCATGAGAACAAATCCTGTTGACATGCACACACCACAAAGCTATTCAACTCCACGATTGCACCTGAAATTTTTTCAAAAATAGAGAGGGAGGTGTTTGTGAGTGGCGATTATCAGTTATTAGAGTTAAAATATTGTGTTGTTCATAGCCTATTTCAAGTATCATTAAATAGAAAGTAGTTGTTTAGTAGCTTCAATGATAAAAAAAAACATCAAGATATTAAGGCACTGTGACATTTATCCAAAGTAGAATTTATCTGAAATAAGCACTGTGGCTCTCATTCTTTCTGAAGTTTTCTATCTTTGTTTTTCTTGTCAACCCACCTATATATTTTATTTTTCTGTTAATTTACCTTTCGTGAATAAACAAAACTTTAAACTTAAATATGTGCGTGTGCTAATTAGAGAAATATTCATGGTTGGTGTGTTGCTTATTCAACAAATGCACTTACTGGTATTGGGTCTTTTGTACTTTATTATCATTTGCTTACACCATGATACATCCATCATAATTTTAGAATGGATGGTTTGTATTTATATTTGTTTATTGCTGCATTGTCATTTGACTTCTTGTAATTAAGTATACATGTCATAGCTAATAAATTTTGTATATTGGTGTCCATTTTTTTTTGTTTCAGATTGGTTGCAATGCCGTTAGTTGGGCACCAGCAGTAGTTCCAGGGTCATTGATTGAACCCCCATCAACACAAAGACCAAACATAGCTAAGAGAATAGTGACAGGAGGATGTGATAACATGGTCAAGATTTGGAAGTTAGACATAGTTTGTTTTTTGTTTTCTTGTTAAGTTTAATTGATGGAAGCTTACAATGTGGAGAATAAGAATATGTATTCATTTTTTGGTCACGAATGCTGGTTTTTGGATGACAAGCCTCAATTATAATAAGTAGATGATTTTAATATTACCCCTCTATAGTATATTATTTATATATCCAGTAGAGCAGTGCTACCCATAAATGTTTTGATAATAAATTTTGACGTGGATTATTCCCTGTGTTATTTCACTTATTAAAGTGTGAAATGTTAACTTGTGATATTTCTTTTCAGAGAAGATAATGGTAAATGGGCGGAGGAGCACAAACTAGAAGCCCACAGTGATTGGGTTCGAGACGTTGCCTGGTGCCCGTCTATAGGTCTTCCACAGAGCACCATCGCTAGTTGTTCACAAGATGGTCGTGTAATAATCTGGACCTGTGATGGCAGTACAGGCAACACATGGAACCCAAAGGTACATGTTTTCTTCATACAGTATTAAACATCTCCAAATTACGAACCTCCCATTTACTAACTCTCGATTTTACGAACCCAATTTGCGGCAATGACGTCATTATGAACAATCGTTTTTAACTACAAAAACACTTGAAAGTTATTTAAAAGTCTTCAGAAATAATATAAAATGTTACATCAGCTAAGAGAGAAAACATTCAAACCAATAAAGTGATATAAAACTAAGTTCAAAGCAAAAAATAATCGTTATCACCTGAGGTATATAATATTTGAGCTGTGCGTGCTTGTTCAGGCATACTGTATAGTAAATCTCACTTTTTGATCACTGGGAGCACTATTCGCATGGATTCGCAATCTTTATGAAATGAATAATAGCACTCGTTTTGGCCTTTATATAGTCATGTTTTCATTCAGAAATCACATCAAATGAATACTTCACAGTGAGCACAGGTAATTTTGGCTTCTGAGTAGTATTTTGTTGTTGCAGAAAACAGTAAAATCCAGTCATATTTGGTGAAAAAATGTTGCTCCAATGGCAAGGCTTAGGGCTACCTAGCCCTGTCTGTAATTTTTAGCATAGGCCACACTGACTTGCTGAAAATTCAAACTATCTGAATTACAAATTTTCTCATTTACAAACTTTGTTCGGACAAAGGTGTACGTAATTAGTAGATGTTACTGTACAGTACTCTTGACTTTGCCCTTCGTTCTATATTTTATGTAGTAAATTATTATACAGTATAATGAATTTTCATAGCATTTATGTTGCTTTTTTTTTCATTGTAGATTTTGAATAAATTTAATGATGTCGTTTGGCATGTTAGCTGGTCGGTGACTGGAAATATTTTAGCTGTGTCTGGTGGAGATAATAAGGTTAGAATTTTTTATTAGATCATCATAAAATAGTGGGATATTTGAACCAAAGGTTTAGCTATTCATGGTGAATTTAATTATTATATACCTTTTAATCCTACTTGTTTAGCTGTAATCGGTTGAGTGTTTAAAGAACCTCAAATAGGTCATCCTGGACTTTAAGGGTTGTCCTGGGCTTTGATGTTTGTGGTTGTTTGTTTCTGTTTTAACGTTTTAATTTTTATGGACATTTGGATTTTATTGTAAGATTGAAAATGGGAGTTTTATATATATACTTTTGAGCTAAATTTGCGAAGAGTAGCCAACCTTTTATACATGTTAAAATAGTAATTGAATAAAAGAAATGGTATAATTTTGAAGTCTTTGTGTGGTTCTTTCTCTTTTTTATATAACCCATCTGGTTTTCATTAGGTATTTGTTCTCAAGAACCTTTTAAAATCCATTAAAATCTGTTGATAACTCTGAATCCGTATGGAATCACTGTAAAAAAAAAATCTGGCGCTCAAAGTTGTTAATATATGAATTTTTTCTTGTACGTTTTCTTCAGGTTAGTTTATGGAAGGAGTCATTAGAAGGGCAGTGGGAATGTGTTAGTGACGTGAGTAAAGGAGAAGGAGTGATCGAAGGACAACAACAAACACAATAAAAACAGCTACACAACTCACACCAGCAATCTGAGAACAAGCAAGTAAATACCTCATAATGGTAGGAGAGTTGCTGAGGTCAGAAAGCTGAGACTAAGAATTGTGGAATAACCAATTATCTTGGTTACAACTTATACCCCATGCAGACTAGCATTGCATTACGATCTGTTTGTAGCAATTGCAACACCCAATTGCAAAGTAAAATCATTTGTGAAAGCTCACCAATTGCGATTGGGTGGTACAATCTTTATTACTCCCAATTACCACAGAATCCGATCGCAGCAAATCACAACAAATTTCACAGGCACTATTTGGCTGAGGTCAGTCAACATAGGCCTACCATTGGAGGCCTAGGCCCTAGAATGTAAAGTTTTTTTTTGTGTTGGTCTAAATGCGTTCGTTGATTGTGATGGGGAGTAATCAGTTTTGGATTACCACCGATTACATCGCAACCGAGTGTAGTCTGAATATGGTATTAGACCTTTGGTGGCAGTTGTTCACTCCTTATTTTACAGTGGGTTTGACCTTTTCCTATGAATATGTTTTAACTTTTGAGACTACACTGAAACTTGCTTTTCCCCCAATAAGGTTTGATCTTTACTACAGTAGGTTTAACCTCTATTTTTACTAAGGAATTATCTAATACAGTATTTTACTTGGCTTTGGCCTTGCTTATTGCCCATCAACATTATATGATCTTGAATAGACTTGGCTTTGCTCTTTTTCTAAGAATAGTATTTTTGTCTTTCTCAAGTCACTCAACTTAAGGCTTATCTGGCCTTGGAATTTACATAATGCCTAGGATTTCATCTTTAAAAAACTTATTCTATTTGTATTTATTCCAATTGTTTAAGGAAAATTAATTTGACTTTCAACCTGAAAGGCCCATTTGTATGATTAATTTAAAAGATTTAAATAGTAAAGACTAATATTCAACGTAAGCGAATATATTTATAGTGAGAAAAAGAGGGAAGGAATATAGCAACCTTACAGATTAACTTACCCATCGAATAGTTATGTAAAAATCATTGATAATGTTAACACGTACAATAGATTGTACAATCTGGGAAATAAATAAAAAGTAAAAGAATTGCATAACATCAGAGAAGATTCCTACCAAATAATAATTTGATTATTGTATGATGGTTATTGTATGATGGTTACCTGAGTTTCATAAAAAGGACCAGTTTGTAATACTGTAGTACCCTAAATATATCGATATGTTTGAGTATACCAGAAGTAACAGAGAGAGATGTTTTTGTTCATTATGAGTGTAATATTGTCTTATGCATGCCATATTGTTAAGACTGATTCCCATTATGTGTTTTGTAATAAATATCAATAGTGGTAGCTATAGCGTGCCGCCATGTTTTCAAATCTCCCAAGAATTCTGCTCTTATTGTAAATAAAATGTTATGGATACCATGGTACATGCCTGAGACTATGCTAGTTAATTTCGTGTTCAAGGACTTTATAATATTCATCACTAGAATAATGAACATTGCTAATCATTTTGAAGAAAATCCGTACAGACAAAATTTGAGGAGCACTGAACAGTTTTCCTTTCTCATACATCAGGGGTCCTAAGTTGAAGAAGCCGTTTCCAGGAGATCTGTTTACAGTGTCGAATTCATAGGAGGTGGCCAAGCTGGCCCGGCAAACTTTTCAAAATTTAAAAAAAATTGAGAAAAAAAGAAAGTTCTCAAATTTTGAGTATAAATGTGCCATTTCCGGCAAGCTAGAGTTGCCATAATCACAATTTTTTTAACCTCAGTCCCAACCATGGTGGGGCTGAAGTAGTATAGACTCTCCATCTGTGAAAGTCCCTCTCTGGGCCCCCTCTATTTCAAATTCCTGGATCTGCCACTAGTTTATATGATATTTCTTAACACATCTAACTTTATTTTGCTGTACATTATGATACCCATTACAAGCTGAATTCCTGGGAGATAATTGATAAAAAGCAGTAAAAATATAATAAATTTGTGGAAATGGGTTGGTTTGTGGAGATTTCCTTTCTCGCCGGGATGCAGGAGGCTGTCTCGATTTTCCTCAAAACTTCTGTGACTTAGGACCCCTGCATGCATCAACAATTAAAAAATAAAGGCATTAAATTTGTTTTTGTGGAAGGTAGAACTAAAATGGATGCAAACGCAACTAATCTAGGAAGCTTTTATTCTAAAAATCTTTTGCTATACCGGTATTTCAAGTGATGGACATAGTTGACAGAAAATCCTAAGTTGGGTGTTGAATGAAAGGATGTAGTGGTTGTCTGGGAAACTTGGATCTCAGATACCTGATCTTAGTTTTCTAGTTCTAGAAACTTAGATATCTAGTGACATATGAAACTGATTATGATTATCTAACACTTATACTCAATTGCAAAGAATATATAAATTTCTTGGAAGAAGTTCATCTGGTTATAGTACAGTACTCACTCAGGACGTTTCGTCTTGAGTACATTTAAATTCGGTTAAACAAAAAAGAAATTAAAACATAAATAAATAGATAAGTGAATGTTGGCCAACAACATCACTCATAAACACCCTGTGACACTCCCATTTATTTAATTGAGCCACTGGGTTTTCTTTGTTTCAGTTCATATCATTTATTTCACCAAATTTCAAATTTACAAGAACGAACACGAAAATACAAAAAGACTACTCAGCAGTACCTGGTAGGATTGCTCAAAAGAGGGCGATGCCCATCTGTCTGTGAGCTCTCCAGTATCAACCGAGAAACGGATGCAACAGAAATACTGTATTAAAATTATAATTTGCAGAGCACTAAAAAACATATATAAAGTATTATTACAATTAAGTCATTATTATAATAATTATCAACATTACAATTAAGTAGTATAAAATTTGTTGGAAGCACAGCTACGGCATTTCAATAATAAATGTTTAAAATATTGCCAGATTATCTTTAGTACAACAGAAATATTAAAATTATATTAAAATTATTAAAAATATTTAAGCATTAAAAAACTATATATAAAAAGTGTTTTATAACAATTAAAATTTTTACCATAATTATTATAACTTCAATTAAGGCTAGAATAAAATTTGAAGCACAGCTCAGCCTTTCAATAAAAAATGTTTAAAATATTGCCAGATAGTCTTAGTACAACAGAAATATTAAAATTATATTAACATTATTATTATAAATATGAAAAGCACCAAATAACGATATATATAAAAATGTTTTTATTACAATTAAAATTATTTCAATTAAAACTAGGATTAGATTTGGTTGAAATTTAGCTTGACCACTTCAGTGAGCATGTTTATGTTCCTGGACGCACCCCAAAATCTCCGTTCCCCGCACATTCTTAAAACTATTGGCCATAAATTTTTTTTCTTTGCCGCACCTACACTTTGGAATTCACTCCCTGCTCACATTAAAAACTGTTCTTCTGTTGCTTCATTTAAAAAATTACTCAAAACCTCACCTTTTTTCGTCATTAACGTGCAAAGCGCCTTTGATAATGCACCTCGATCGTTTAATTGACGCTTTATAAATTCTTATATTATTATTATTATTATTATTATTATTATTATTATTATTATTATTATTAAAACTAATTGCCAGATCATCTTTAGTACAACGTGGTAATTCGCCAAATAGACATATTTATACCATTTGTTTGTTTCGAGATTTAACTGCAGATTTATACAGCCTATCTTTTTTCCTACCCAGTTGTAGTAATTCCTCGGTAATCGATGGTTCCTTTAGGTTGGCGTTTTCCTTTACGTCTAGGTATGGCGCAATTTAATATATGCATGAATTTTCCTTAAATGCACTCTATTTCAGATTTACACCAGGGCTTTCAATATGCCAAGAAGTTGATGACAGGTAATCGATAAATGTGGGTATATCAAGTTTAGAATAATCGTAAAAAGTACCAGCTGGTCTGTATATGTGTTCATTACAGTGTCTAATATTAAAATATATTCCCCCGTGGTCACTACCCTCAATACCACTGTGTGTGTCAGGATTTGTAATAAGTCATAGCATTTTGCAAGTGGTCCGGCCATTTTAATAAGAGTGGGTGTGGTAGGGTGCAACACATTTTTTCATCATTGTTGAAAAAATGGCTCCTCACTAGTAGGGAATTTGGCACATGCTTAATTAAAAAAAAAAATTAACGTCTTCATTTTTAATTTAAGTGTTTAGATTTTAATTGGAAATAGGCCTAATCAGGGCCGGCTTGGCCATCATACATTTGCCAAAATATTATAATAGTTATATGTTATTTTATATTATACCCATAAACATTTTCAAAATTAATCTTAAATATTAAAGTTAAGGATTGTCAATAAAGTTGTAATGTACAATACAAAATAAGCTCATGATGGATTAAAAATGTTTATAGGCTTATACAACATTAAAAAGATACGAACATTAATAATATTTAATAAATTCACATAATATAGTAGTGTATATTCATTAAAATAAGTACAGTTCTCCCTCCAATTAAAGACCAGCTCCAATTAAAGAAAACATTTCTGCGGCCTCCGTTGGATGGCTATCTTTTATCATCAGCTGTTCCCTCCAATTAAATATTTCCTCTATTTAGAGACCATGGTTTTGGTAGATCCAACTGAAAATTTTCCCTCCAATTAAAGACCACTATAAAATAAACAGTGATCTTAATGCATTTTTTTTCTACAATAAATTGTGTTATATAAACACAATAAAATTATAACTTGTGTACTTAGACGTAGAAATATTAGCCAATGCACTGTTTTGTGTACAGCGTTTTGTATATTGAATGACGACAATGTTAGTAATATTTTAATGGAAAGACAAGTTGATGTCTGGTTACTAAGAAATGTTTAATTAGGAATAAGAGCGTGCAGTTACTGTACAACCATTTTAAAACATTTAATGTATTATTTTTTTAATTTCCATTTAAATAGATAAATCTAAAGACCACATTTAGTACCCATGAGTTCAAAGTCTCCCGTAGAGTCCCGGAATGGAGTCTCCTGGAAACTGGCAGGAAGGACTCCCGCATTCTGGCCCGCGAGCAAGCACGAATCTCCGAAATAAACCATCTCCGCAAATTCATGATGATATTTGCATGCTTTATCAAGTTTTTATGATTGACAGTAATTGCTTTAGGCGAGTTGATTGGCCGAGCGGTTAAGTCAGGGGCATCGTAACCTTCAGATCTGATAATATCGGCGCCGGTTCGAACGGCCTCACTCGCCAATGGTTCCGGTGGTGGAACAAGTCTTCTTGGATAAGGACTTTAAACCGTAGGCCCAGTGTACGCATTTGGCTCGTGTGCACTTTAAAGAACCCGGTACATCATTCGAGAAGAGTAGGGGGTTACCCCGGTGTACTGGTCCATTAAGTCCCCTGTTGTTAAATGGATATGCCACGCAGGACAGTGATTAAGTTCGCTTATTGGCATATCCTTGGCCCTCGTGCCTAAAGAAATGAAATGAAATGAAATTGGTAATACAGTATAAAACTAGTAAAAGCATGCAAATATCATCATGAATTTGCGGGAGATGATTTATTTCGAAAGATTTGTGTTTGCTCGCGGACCAGAATGCGTTCTTCGTGCCGAATTCCAGGACACCCCATTCCGGGACTCTACAGGAGACTTGGGACTCATCGGCACTAAATGTGGTCTTTAGTTTTATCTATTTAGAGGGAAATTGAAAAATAATAAATTAAATGTTTCAAAATGGTTGTACAGTAACTGCATGCTCTTATTTATTCCTAATTAAACATTTCTTGGTAGCCAGACATCAACTTGTCTTTCCTTTAAAATATTACTAACAATGCCACTAAACATTACCGTCATTCAATATACAAAACACTGTACACAAAACAGTGCATTGGCTAATATTTCTATGTGCAAGTCATATAAAAATTTATTGTAGGAAAAAAAAAACTGCATTAAAATCACTATTTATTTTATAGTGGTCTGTACATGAAGGGGGAAAGTATCAGTTGGGTTCACCAAACCCATGGTCTCTAAATAGATGGAATCTTTAACTGGAGGGAACAGCTGACGATAAAAGATAACCAATTCATCGGGGGCCATCGCAGAAATGTGGTCTTTAATTGGAGGTGGTCTTCTGCGAAAGGGCCCCAGTGCAAGATTAGTTGGCGGGCCCTTTGATGTGATACGGGAAATTACCTAAGGTTCTCAGAATATTCATAGTAAGAATTGCTTCTTTTACTCCCTACTTCTGAAGGCCTAGGCTAGAGTAGGATTAATAAATGATAATCGCTCGTAACTATTTTAGGGCATAGTCCTATTCGGTCTCAGCAGCTGTTCTAAACTAAATCAAGAAAATTGGTGGCACACAAAATTAAACAATTGCAATGGCGGGTCAGAGAATTATAAGGTGGGGGTGAAGACCCCTGTCTCTTATACACATCTAGATGTGTATAAGAGACAGGGGTCATATAATACGCACGATATTAAAGCATTCACATTAAAACAAGGGTAACTATTTTGCCTAGTAGTGTATTATTAAACAAAGAAAATGAAAAGAAAGAAAAGGAAAAGGAAGAAAATAAAAAGAAATATATATTGTGTTTGGAAAAAAACGACAACACAAAATGTTAGTATTTTTCCTTTCTTCATTCTTTTATTTGCATTACATTTTATTTGACAACAGAATACCGCTACTAAACAATGCTTATTTTAAATTTTGTATCCAAACATGTAATAATAATAGTGTAGTAATAATTATAGGTATCCATCAAAATAAGATGCTCATGGCGCTTGATATCATGGACTAGAACTCGATAAATAACTAAGGGTTCCTTCGTGTCTTTGCTACACGGTAACCCGTTACAAGTAACTCTCCTCGTCCACCACAGGGGTTGTTTGTACCAGTACACCAGGGTATCCCCCTACTCGTCTCGAATGATGTACTGGTTCTTTATAGAGCCATTGTATACACTGGGCCTACGGCTTACAGTCCTTAAAATTTATTAATAATTGATCCAAATATTTGTAATTTATAAACGAAAAAGAGTTGCAACATAATATTAGGAACCTGCTTACAAGGCTCCAATAACCAAAATTTATTTCTTACGTTTTTTTTTTTTTTTTAATAATTTATTTTTTGTCAAAAGGGACCCCAACGGCGCATTGGTCCGCGACTGATTGACTGATAGGCCAGTCCGCCCCTGCGAAAGAGTTAAACACAGAATGAAAGAATGCTTCAGTGATCACTCCAATAGAGTGAAATAGATATTGTGAAAAGAGAGTGAAATTTCACTCTGTTCAGAGTGAATTTTACTAATTTTGATAAGAAAAATATACAATCATTAAAAAGATACCGTAATTTTTATTCGAGAAAGAATTTATTGTGATCACTGTGAAATTCACTCTTTTACATTAAGAAGAATCTTATTACAGCATGTGATTACGGCAACGGACTCTGTTCAGCTACATGGTGTTATAACATGTCTAAGCGTATGGTTTTTATGCAGTTCTCTATAAAGTTTGTATTCCAATGGCATACTGTGAACACCTAGCCCACTTTTCACACTACGATTATCATAGTAATGATATTTCAGTTTTCGACCGCTCAGATCCTGCGAAAAAGGAAAAAATCCGTAGAGCGAAATTCTTTTGCAAAATGTGAAAGCAATATTAACATTAACAAAACCACCGGATGCTATTTTAGGAAGCTTCCAATACCTACAAAATTAAAAACAGAAGGAAACAATGATTGAAAAATATCAATTATATAATCATAAACACAATACATATTTTATTTAATTATCAAATCAAAACCAACATCAAAAGAATTAAACGCCACTTACAGGCTTGAATTTACACAGACAGGATAAGAAACAAGATAATAAAACGGCTTTAACAATACAAAAAAGTCATTCAAAAATTATTGCACACGTCGCTTTGCCAGAAGAAAATATTTAAAAAACCAGAAAAATGCACAATAAACGGTTAACAATAAAAAAAAAAATTACTCAACAAGGTAATCAAATATAAATTTCCTAAATTAGAATTACTAAAAATATCAACTTCAGAACAAGAATTCTTTCTGATGTTAGCGCTAACTTCAAACAGGCTTTGGCCATCGAAGCGTAATAATTTCATTTTCATTTACTTATTTGACACAACGGCCCTGGGATTTCTAAAGACGCAATCAGTGAGCCAGAAGTTCCAATATAACACCAAACATTTTCACAATAAAAATTCGAATAAAATCTTTAAAATAAAATGTATCAAAAAGTTAAAATATATCTACACTATGACTAAAAAGATACGCTTTAAATCTATTTAAAAAATAGTGTGCAAGTGACAGTGTCGTCTTTAGTTTTACTTGGAAGAGATGCCAATATACAGGAAATGAATGAATAGATCAATGTTGAGCGTATCGGTATACGGGCATAGGGATGAATGAAAGTAAGATTACCTGGATGACGAGAGTTGATAAATATATTATCGATTGCACTACAGGTGTTATATTTGTATAAACATCGAAAAACAAAAGAAACTAAATAAAATTACACCTGTTTTGTAATGATAACCAAGCAAGTTTCTGTAACCTTTCATCATATGAAATAACCCCCAAACTTACCTTTAGTATTCTATGGGACGCCCTTCGTTGAATCGGTTCATTTCGGTATGACTGATTTTTATATTAAGGACCCAATGCAGATAATCCGTACTCAACAATAGGAAGAACCAAGGCTTTATAGATACATACGAGTGCTTCTGTAGAGCTACGGTATCTCTAGGACCGACAGAAAGTCTATCTTGATTCACACCCATTTACTCGACTTTTGCGCAGAGACAAACGTATAAAATGTCTTGCTTGCCCAAGTAAAGTGACTTGCACGGTGTGAACATCCGAGCCGCAGACATTGCCCCAACCGTTCCATCATGTTATTATATATAGACCAATTGGGCCTAATTGTAAATAAATAAATTAAATAGAAATATAGCCTACCTGGTTAGCTCATATCTGAATTTGTGCAAAGGAATCCTAAAGTCAATTTCCGAATTTACAAACTTTGCAATACTAAAGAAGTTGTCGTATTCTTTCTGATCACTCTTCGGTCTGTTTCTATAAACTGGTATTCCAAAGTACATCTTGCCAAATCCCTTTAAGACTTCTGTGTATTTTTTATGACAAGGTGATTCTGAATTTGTTAAGCAGTAAATCAGGTCACGCGTCTTTTCATCATTAGACGTCATCAGGCTAGTTCGGGTACCAACGTCTGCTTCAAATCCTTTCACTGGTGCCATATTTTCTCTTATAACAAAATCATGAGCCTCGATTTCCCTACCACAAGAACTACCCTTTAAAATACCAGAACTTCCAATGACAGCACAAGAATCTTGTATTGGTATCTGTCCAAGTTGTAATTTTTTGTTTATTTTAGTCGGATGAAAGAACATTTCACTTGTCATCTCCATTGATGCTAGAGTTTTTCTGAAAAATGAAAATATTTGCACTATTGAAATATAAGTAAAATAAACGCTTTAAAATAAAATGGAGTCAACCAGTAAACAGTTCCATTGAAACAATGCGCTATTCAAGTTCAGTCCTACACACATTGAGAGTTGATTATAAACATGTCAGGCACAAGAAATTCTGAGTTCAAAAATCAAATTTCGAAAAAACAAGCACAAACAAAGATACGGTACTGTACAGACGTGGACTCGAAGTAATAAACGATCCCTGAGAAATTATCACTTTACCACAACCGGCAAAACATAGTTGTTGCGATTGATTTAATACGGTATACATTTTTAATGACGGTGTGGCGGAAATGGTACAACTCAAAGTGGTGGATTCACTAAATTTGTCAAAATTGTTAAAAAAAAATAGGAGAAGTTGAAATTATTTTCAAATTTTAAGTCTGAGAGTGTCATTTCTGGCTATCTAGATGTACCATAATCGAAAATGTTCTTACCTCAGCCCCAACCATGGTGGAGGCCTGAGGTGATAGACCCTCTATCTGTCAAAATAACCCCCTTCCCTGGGCCTCCTCTATTTCAAATTTCTGGATCCGCCACTGACTCATCAACTCTTACCTAAATTTCTCTACGTTATCTGCGTTCACGTGCTCTTCTAAATTTTGCAATACATCAAACTTTTTTGAACGCATTAAAGTCGATAGATTTTTACATTTCCTAAAAGAGAAATGCAGTAACGGTAATCAGTGATACAATAATAACAAAATTGCAAGGTATTTTTTCTGGATTGTAACCTAATAAAGCCAAGCACTCACTGCGCGTCGTACGACGAATCCAACTTCGATTCTTGTTAGCGCTAAACGACGAGAAACCGTCTGCTGATTGTCTATGTCAGTCTAACGGATCGTCATTCAAACGATCCGTCGCGCGCGTCGTTGCGTTGCGTTATTCATAAAATCGTGTGGGTCGTCGACCGTCGGACGCAGTAAGTGACCGGCTTAAGAGGTGAAACTCATGGCTGAAATGATAACAATACCAATTATAAAACATTAAACAAAAATATTAGGCTATAATACCAAAAAATTCTAACGAAAATTGTGATGAGTGTACTGTAATAATAGGCCTAATAATAATAATAATAATAATAATAATAATAATGTGATTTTTTTTATGCGATATGTTAAACTTCATGTATAAGTAGGTGATTTGCTAAAAAAATATATCGTGTAAAGTGTTTTTATAGAGCTTCAATGTTTTATGGACATCTTTTTTATATGTGTTGCCTATGTAACAGGAAAACCAATTTTTACGACTTCTGGCAATATTTTTCTACGACAATAAATGTCACTTTTACCTAAATGTCTCAACTTCTTCACTGTCCAAGTGTTCATTTAATATGTGCGATACATCGGGGTCTTCTAAATACCCTACACTTGATAGGTTTTTTGATTTCCTAAAGAAAATAAAGTAATAACAACAATTATAACATACTTTCTCATGGACTGCAATACATAAAGCAGTTTTTATGTTAAATAGTAATATCAGTCTATAACAACAATGACAACGACTACAACGACAGCGATAATGAAAATATAGGCCTATATAAGAATAATATTAACAGCTCTTGTGCCAAATAATAATGATAATAATACAATAATTATTATAACGTATTTCATATATATATAAAATATATTCCTCACCTCAAATACAAATATCCAGAGGTTGAGCCAAGTTTGTAATTTATTTTTTCTTCTGTTTTTGATAGATACAAAACAACATGGACGACGACAAGTAAGAACAAAATAAGTATAGCCTTAACAAAGAAACTCATTGTAGACTGAAAATATTAAAAACAAACAAAAGTATAAACAACAGTTAATTTTCTGTATAACATTTATTTTGTATTACTTTCAATTCATCAGAGAAGTGATGAATTGTTTTAGAGCATCATAGCATCCTAACATTATAACGTAGGCCAATGTATTGATGTTTTAACGACTTGAATAGAAAATATTATATTATTTCCATGATCTAACGAGTCCGAATCTAGTCGACGTTTCCAACTGATTTGATAAGTCCTATACACAAAACAAAATAGGTGACATTTCACAACTATGTTTGGCGTCCTCTTCAATTTTAAATAGTGTTCTGTCTCAATGTCTTCAAATTTAACATTAGATTGGACCTTATTTCAAATAATACATAGTACATTTCATACATTGCCTCTAATACCACGCAACTCTAAGGTTTTTTTTAAAATAAAGAACAGCCGTATATATTCACCTTCTGCAAGTCTAGTTGTAGTAATACATTTTTCAATGTGAAAATATTATCATTGCAGCGACGTATTTTTCTAAATCTATCTTATATTTCGGTTAGCGTATTATTGGTTTTCAGGAATTATTCTTAGATCTAATTCGAGTGAATACTATAGCTATACATGAATTAAAAGTAATACATCTGTAATAACATAAAAGAAACGACAGCAGCCCTTTTGACTAACAATATAGAATTTATTCTCTAGCTTTCGTCCCATATGGAAACGTTTTTGCCACTTTTTATCATTTGCTAGTCCAGCTCTCACGAAAGCAGCGAACTGAGGTAAAATCAACCCCGCTGTACAAGTAGTTTGGATCGACCAATTAAAAACATTGGGTTTGTTTCATTTTCATTTATGGAGTTAAAATACTAACAAAATTCAATTTGCACAGTCAATATTCTTTTGTTAAAACTTGTATTTGAACACATATTTAACAGTACACATAGTACAATGTAAAGTGAACAATGTTGAGATCTCTTTTCCCCTAGTCCACGCTTTCGTGTTGGCGGATTGGCTTAGCCACGCTAACATCCCTATGGAAATTTTCAAACGGTCCACACTATAAATTACATTTGTTTGCAGAAATATAGCCTAATTGCTGCAAGTATCTTGCCTTGGGACATTTGTTTTTTAATAAAGGTAATAAAAGCACACAAAAATCCAACAGATAACTAAATTAGGCCAAATTACATGAAGAAAGAAGTCAAAACACTGCGAACACAAGTCAAGCACGCAGAAGTATGACGTCATACCAGTTAATCGGAATATCACGCTTGAGAGATTTTTTGACCCCATGAGAGGCAATCGTGGATTGGATGGAGTTTATATTTTCTTATTTTCCGATAAAACTACCCAATTAATCATATAAGTTTTATATCAGCTTCAAGCTTATTATTTTCCCTCCACGAATCCACTTGGGCCAATTCGAACAAAGAAATAGTCTGTGAGTGAGGGAGTAAGAAACGAGCCCGGAACAGCCAAAAACCTCAAATTTCTTGAAATTCCCTATCTAAATCGGCGTGAGGAGCTGTTATAAATCGGCGTATTCGGACAAAACCGTAGGGATTTTTTTCTTCACGAATTGGTAGATTAATATTTTTTAGAACATAATAGTAATGGAAAACATTAGAATGCTCTATTTGTAATGAACATTACCATAGAGTATGTGTCAATCAGAAGCCGCAATCAAACCCCAAATATGGTTCTACCCGCAGTGTCACGCTCTAGTTTTCAGTTTCAGTTTTCTGTTTGTTTATTTATTAGACCAACAATGTCTCTACCAAGATTTGTTAAAGAACTCGCAAGACAGAGCACACAGCAACAGGATACAATCTGCAAAATGGCTGAAGATATTGCCTTAAATTTGCCACAGCTAAATGACCAGAAAGTAGGCCTATCAGATTTCTGAATTACAGAGCAATTTACTAAAGGGTATGCCTTAAACATCAATGCGAATCCCAGCCAATCTTGATAAGAAATGCCTCATAATCGGTGACTCGATTATACGGGATATTATTGAAAGGGGTCTCAAAGACACTAAAGTTGACTGTTGTCGAGGATCTAAATTCAGCGACATTGATAGTAAACGTGATAAAACAGAATCATCATTCGAGTCTATTATTGTACACATTGCACCAACAACTGTGAGTCAGACGACAGTGGCGGCTCTATGATATAGTTGTTAGGGTGGCTAAGATGTCCGAGTCCGACTTGGGGGGGGGGGGCTACTTAAATATTTATGGGTGTAACTATAGCACGCAGTGTTATTTGAGGGCCCCCTTCTCCCAAAACGAGATTTTTTTTTTTAAATTGGGACTCCTAGCTGGCCGATGGGGGAGGGGGATTAAGCCCGCTGCCCCCCCCCCCCCCACCGCTGGCGCCGCCACTGTTAGATGGAGACCTTGAATCCGTGATTATCAAACAGTTGGTTAACAATTAAGTTAAGCTGAAGTCGCCAATTACAAAACTACTTTTTTCCACCTCATGCCCACGCACGGACAAACATGAACAATAGCATTAAGAAAATTGCAGAGAAAACTAATTCGAAATTAATTGATAGGGCCTAATTATGATGATACCTTTTTTCTGAGAAACGGTTCTGCTGTTCACTCAAATCTAAATGCTGGAGGTTTGAATATCTCCAAAATATATCTCCAAAATAGGTACAAGATTGCTTCTCAGTAACATGAATGCAGTCCATGCTGTTATCAAACCATCAACTCCAAAATCATCCGCCGCGAAACCATCATATCGACAGTATGAACACTTTCAACGCTCGCAGCGAAGACCGCACTTTAGCAACTGCAGGAAACAAGGTTCACAGACGCCAGCGTCGAGGATCGTTCAGCATAGGAAAACGCAAGCAGCAATGCACCGGTAATACCTCTCGTAATTGATTTCCTTGTTCTTTCAGATAAACATACCGATTCATTTAATGACTCTGTTGAAGTGCATGATATTTTGAACTCTGACATTCCTAGTAAATCAAAAATTATTGGATAATCATTGAGAAGAAGAAAAAAGCGAAGTAATGTGAAGCTCTTAGAGGGTTTTTGGTGTTAAGCGCTTTATAAATCAAACATATTATTAATTTGGCGATCAAAGAAATTGGGTAAATCTAAATCAAATACATGTAGTGGGGCTGATGACTGGGGCGTGCACTTCTAGAAAGAAGGATGAAACTTTGTCCTAGGGGGTTTTTGAGTATGCCGATTCCAAAATTTGCGGGAACCACGATGTCACTCCAACCGTTTCCGCCAAAATTAGGAAAAATAAAAATGACCGCCAAAAAAAAAAAAAACACAATTTTGGCAGTTTAAATGCTTAAAGTGCTCACATTACCATAATCTTGGTGTCGATAATTATGTTCTTTAGTTCAAGGAATCCAATAAAACATAATCAAAATACAATAACATAGGGCCTACATCTTCATCGTGAAAATGCAAAAATAAATAAATTATTCAAAATGGCCACCAAAAAACGCAATGTTGTCAGTTTAAAGGCTCTAAGTGCTTACATTACCATTACCATTACCACTAAGCATTTCTTATTAAAATGTACGGCATTTGACGGCATTAGAAATGAAATTAACAAATTTAAAAAGTATACCTTACACTCTGTGACCTTTCTTACATTTTTTACAACATCAGTTGCTGATGATAAATCGTTGTATAGTTTAGGAGCAGACTCAGTCACTTTTTTGTGCTGATTCTGCTTTTATTTTTGATAATTACTGTAAAAAATATGCAATAAATGCATTTTGGTGCTTTTTCTTATTTTTACTTGATTTTTGTATTCCTGTTTTAATTTCATTTTAACGTTATGATTCTGTACCTTTAGTTTACATTTTTTAAATTTTAAGCCTATAGTTAAAACTTTTTGAGTTAATCTGTTGGCTTTAAAATACATTCTAGGTTAATTTGCTGTGATTTTCTTTATATGATTTGTTTTTGTATTAAGTTGTTTACTTTTCTATTTTAGTTGTTATTGTTGTCCGACCGCACCACACGAGTTGTGTGTGCCAGCGTTCTAAAGGTAAAGTGTCAATAAATAAATAAATAAAATCCACTTGGGCCATTACCAGAAAATCATAGATTTTGTACCAAAAATGTACTTTTGTGAAAGTAATCCATTTTTCTCCGACCTTGGAGAGCAAATGATACAATGTTTCCATATGCACAGTGGACTTCATCAAGAGACTGTACAGATGTAATTATATATAATTCAAGTTATTTTAAGCACTTTTTATGGATTGGGATAATTATGTCTTTTCATTAGGAATATTTTGAAGAGTAAGTAGCGGTTAATATTTTGCGATTTACTTACCGGACTTTTGCATAGTTGTTGATAATTTAAAAAAACTTCCAGGTGTATAACTCAATCCACATTTGTTTAATTTATGCAAATATGCTTAAAGGTTCACAATTCCCCCACCCTTACCCTATTTCATTTGTTTCAGAAGCCTCGATTCTTTATTACTTCTCATAATGTGCGTTGTGGAAGGTTTTGAAACATTAATAGCAGCTTGATTACCAGTTTTCTTATCAGCCGCTTAGCGCTTTAATTTCAGACTCCGGATGAAAAAAATGTTATTATGTTGTAGAACTGATTTCTAAGACAGAAAAAAGTTGTTTGCGAAAAAGTGGGGAACGGTAAATGAGATATATGTTTTTGAATGTTTAAAAACTGGGGAAAAAGTGTAAAAAAGGGCGGTTCCGTCCCTTTTTTCCTCAGTAAGTAGGCCTACTCAAAAATCTGTATCTCATTTACCGTTTCTCAGTTTTTCGTCAAACGTTTTGTTTAGGCCTATATGGATGTAAAATTCCGAAATAGGCATGAAAGATGAATGAAATTGATCCATACAAATTGTTTAATTTTTGTAAATACAGGTTTCCATCTAATGAAAGACCACTCCAATTAAAGACCACCTCCAATTAAAATCCACTTTTCTGTGGTCCCAAGTTAACAAATATCTTTTATATTTATTATTATAATTTACAGACCAAAGCTGCTAAAAACCATGAAAACTCCGGTCCCAAAAGTGGTCTTTAATTGGAGGGAGACCTGTAAATAAATAATACTTTATACAAGCCTTTGTGTCGCGCAACTTACCAAACATTAGGCCTATATCGTAGTGTCCGGCACCGATGTCGTATGTGGAGGAATAATCCAATCAACTCTGTCAATTTCGTCGATGTTGAATCAAGGAGGAACACTTCAACTCACCTATAGCTGTCAGTAGTCTGATACCGGACGCGATTTCTTCCTGGACATTGAGGCAGTGATCAATTTAAGGAGTTTTGCAGTAAATTAGGGAGCTTACGAAGTCGATACAGAATACGCTTAGGCCTACGTCATTAACAAAGCACGTCACGTCACACCAAATTAGCAACTTGGGTAGGCCACTTACGGATCCCATAGATGCTGCATATTGTCATAGATGTAGTTTCTATAGATCATTAATTAAATTGACTTTCTTTATTCTGAGTAAGTTTGCCATACCATCGGTGTTCTGCCTCCCGGGCTGTTGAGGCATGTCGCCATGCATCAATGCAATAGTGTCTAAAGGCATTTTTTCTAACTATACCGATATTAATAATCCAGAGTAGGCTATAATAAATGCTTTGAAAACATATAAGAAAATGTTGTAGCACCCGTGTTTTAGAGGAAAGAGTATAGGCTATTGCTGAAGTTATTATTATTATTATTATTAAATTATGTCGATATGAGCCTGGAGGAACATTTCTCTAATGTTGTAGCGTTTTTTACAATAGATTTTTTTAAAAATATAAACTGTCGAATTGTGCAAAGGAATATTATAATTTTCATTCACATTCAATTTTTTGCTGCAACAGACCACTTTTTGAAGAGATTTTTTTGGAATAATATATATGCCCAGGTATGGTATGCAATCATAGAGGCAAATAAACACTCAACTTCGGCATGGACGCCTAGCTAAAATATCTAGTTGCTTTATCCACGGATGAAATCAAGGTTATGAATGTGCCGCACCGTAAATAAAAATTTAAAAAAAAAATGTTATACAATAATGGCAACAGGTGACGAATTCAATACAGCCTTCTTTTTACAATTAATAACCATTGTTCATTAGTAATTAGTGGTTTTGTAATTATAACGAAGATTAAAATCTACACTAATTTTGTCCCATTGCATTGCAATCGATAATGCGTCCTGTGTAACACATGTCAACACATTGCATTTACATAGTCTGCTTTGTTGGGTTTATTTCAAGAACAACAATACTGGTATTCCAATTTTCCTGTACCGAGTAATATTCTCCTTCCTATATATTCCTAACCATTTCTTGAATACATCAAGATAAAAATGTTAGCATATTTTGGACATAATTATTTCGACTTATAATGGATTAAATATCACATCGATATCACAATAATATGGTACAATTGAAAATATGTATAATGTATTTAAGTTGTTTTTGAAATATGATCATCTTCATACAATTATAATTAATAGTTTAGTCGTCATTAATTATATAATTCTAGCATTATAAGAACAAGGTTTTCACTATGAGTACATTCTAATCGATCACCTCTGAAAGTTACCGATTATAAAGGTAAAAAAGAAAACAAAAGAAAAAAAGAAAGAAAGAAAGAAAGAAAGAAATAAAGAAAGAAAGAAAAACAAATGATCGCCAAAAACGCCTCAGAGGTTATTTTCGGGCGTCTAGAACACAAAAATTTCGCGGGGTATGTTCCCCCGGACCCCTTAGGGAAGTATTATCTCGACCGGCCCCAACTTTCGGCGCCCCTTCCGGCGGCACACTTTTGGACATTTCTGGATCCGCCCCTTATCGTCATACGCAGTAGTTCAAACTATACGAATTGCTTATAAGAGTTGTTTATCAAGGTATTTATTTATTTATTTTTTTTTTTGATAATTTTACCTCACATAGGCATAAGTGCTCAATCTCTAGCCATGGTTCTTGAACACAGCTGCTTCTTTGTTTTTAAAGAATAGTATGCTTTTATATATACATATATATATATGGTACAATAAATATTTTATTTTTGAGACAGATACAGAACTTTGTTTGACTTCTTATTTTATATATACAAATCTGTCTATGCAGCAACTCTATATTTATTTGGATATCTACTTTTACAATTCTGCTGCAATCTCCGTTTTTTACTGTAACTGTGTTGTCTGTTTGTGATGTGACTATACGTCTTGTTTACGTGTCACCATGCCTGATCCTAAACTAGCACTTCAGATTGTTCGCCGACGTTTAAATGAATATCTTTTGGAGTATCCGGTTTGTGTGAGGAGTTTTGGTTTTGCGTTTGGTTCATATACGTTTAGCAAGTCCCGCTGTTCCAGTAATCTTGGATTTCTTTCTTCATGTTTTCGCAAGAATATCATTCCGAAATCATTTAAGTCGAATTGGAAACCATCCCTCGCTTTTGTGGATCGTAAGTTCATTAAGAAGAACATTAACGATGTTTCCCGTAAATTTATGCGTAGGAGTATTCAATGTCATAAGGACAAAATTTCGTATCACCATAACCACATGATTCGTCATCGCAACAACCTACAAGGTGCATGTACAACTCTTGATTTCTATCACATACGTGGTATTGTCCATGAGTTAAACCTATGGTATTATGACTGTCTTTTGTTAGGAAAACAGAAGAAATTGGATTCACTGAAAAGAGATCGCCCAGTGAATATGACTGCATCTACTCAGAGAAATGTTGACACATCCAAACTTGTGGTTACCATTCCCGAAGATTTACTTCTAACGGATGATGAGAGGTCAGTTTTATCTAAAGGCCTGTCATTCATACCTCAACAGAAATGTATTGATGAATTTAATGTCAAATCTGATCTGGAACAATATTATAGACGCCTAAGACTTAAAGCAGAGTTTCGTGATAAGAGTTCTACAACACTCAACAAGGATGAATTCCAACAACTCAATCGAAAAAAATCTAATTGGACTCCTGCTCCTGGTAAATTTAATTCTTTGGATTTGTATATCCAGAAATGCAGACATGATATTGGACAATTTAATATGAAACATCGGATCAAATCACGTAATATGTCTACTAGAGAGTT